AGAGGAGGAGGAGGAGCACGAGGAGGAGGAGGACGAGAAGGAGGAGGGCGAGGAGGCGGAGGAGGAGGAGGACGAGGAGGAGGAGGGGGGAGGAGGAGGAGCAGGAGGAGGAGGAGGAGGAGGAGGAGGAGGAGGAGGAGGAAGATGAGAGGAACAAGAGGAGGAGGAGGATGATGAGGAGGAACGGGAACGGGGAGTCCCAACTGAAAAGGCCCACGTGGGGCGGGACGGTGAAAGGGTGAAACGAATGGCAGCGCGCCGGCCATTATCTAACACACGCGAGCACGACATGAGAAACAAGGCGCCACGACACAGGCGACAAAGTCTCTTCGATACAAAAGCAGGCAAAAGGATGGCCTGCTGGACCATGCAACAGAAGCGACCGAGAACTCTCGCCATACCTGTCTGTCCTGCGCCCTCTCCAACCATTCTCCGTGTCCCACATCGCTACAGGCATTTCGCAATATGTAGGAGGAGGAGGAGGAGGAGCGGAGGAGGAGGAGGAGGAGAAGGAGGAGGAAGAGGAGGAGGGGGATGAGGTGGAGGAGGAGGAGGAGGAGGAGGAGGAGGAGGAGGAGGAGGAGGAGGAGGAGGAGGAGGAGGGAGGAGGAGGAGGAGGAGTGGGAGAAAGAGGAGGATGGGGAGGAGGGGGAGGAGGAGAAGGCAAGCTAGGTGCGCTCGCGTCATATCTGACGTCCTACCCCTCCCTCCCATCCCTTACCATGGCGCTGATTTTCTCTATCCGCGGACGCGTGTCGTAGCGGACCTGTGGCTCCGCGCGCGCGTGAGTAGTGGGTGGTGGTGCGCGTGCGTGCGTGCGTGTGTGCGTGGTTGTGGTTGTGGTTGTGGTGGTGGTGGTGGTGGTGGTGGTGGTGGTGGTGGTGGTGGTGGTGGTGGTGGTGGTGGTGGTGGTGTGTGTGTGTGTGTGCGTGTGTGCGCGTGTGCTGTGGTGTGACGTGGTGTGGCGTCTTGGTGGTTTGGTGGTGGGCCAGGTGCGTGCGTGCGTGATGGCGGTGGTGGTGGTGGTGGCGGTGGTGGTGGTGGTGTATGTGCGTGTGTGTGCGCGTGTGTGTGTGTGTGTGTGTGTGTGCGTGTGTGTGTGTGTGTGTGTGTGTGTGTGTGTGCGTGCATGCGTGTGTTTGTGTGCGCGCGCGTGTGATGTGGTGTGACGCGGTGTAGCGTGGTGGTGGTGGGTGGGGTAGTGGGGTGGTGGTGGCGGTGCGCGGTGGTGGTGCGCGTGCGTGCGTGCGTGCGTGCGTTGGTGGGTGGAAGTGGCGGTGGGCGGAGCGGGGCGCGGTGCGGTGGTGGCGGGCGGATGGACGCGCGAGAAAGAGGCCCGCGCTGGGGCGAGCACGCCATCCTGAACGACGGAGGCAAAACACCGATCCGAAAATGAAGCCCACGCTGCAGCGGGAGCACGATTCGGAACGAGCGGAAGCCTGAAAATGAGGCCGGCGCCTCAGCGAGAGCAGCATTTTGAAAAACAACCAAGTGAAAACCCAACTCCGGGAAATCCTGTGTGTAAAAAACAGTACGCGGAGGGGTGCCCGCCATCTTCCGCAACCCATCAGGGGAAGGAGGAGAGTGTATTCATATTGATTAGTTGTAGAGAGGTAGGCGGGGGCGGTGTAGGAGGAGGAGGACGAGAAAGACGAGGAAAAGGAGAAGGAGAAGGAGGATGAGGATGAGGATGAGGATGAGAAGGAGGAGAAGGAGGAGAATGAGGAGGAGGAGGAGGAGGAGGAGGAGGAGGAGGAGGAGGAGGAGGAGGAGGGAGGAGGGAGGATGAGGATGAGGATGAGGATGATGATGAGGAGGAGGAGGAGAAGGAGGAGGAGGGCGGTGGAGGAGCTAGGGGATTAGTAGGAGGCGGTGGAGGAGAGGGGGAGTAAGATCACGTGGGTGAGGATGATGATAATGCTGATGCTGATGGTGACGATGATGACGACGACGACGATGATGATGATGATGCTGCTGCTGATGCTGCTGATGATGATGAGGCGGATGAGAAGGAGCAGGAGCACGAGAACGGTGATGATGATCCTGACGATGATGATGATGATGATGATGATGCTGATGATGAGGATGATGAGGAGGAGCAGGAGGAAGAACGTGAAAGATGAGGATCAAAATGACGCCGACGATGCCGACGGCGTCGTCCTCCTCCTCCTCCGCCTCCTCCCCGCCTGGTGCCAGCGGACTGGCCCGGGACGGGCTGGATTGAGTTGCTGCCCGCGCTGCCGTTGATGTCCACTATGCCCGACTTCGTCCTCGGAGTGGGGACCTCCCCCAGGTGAGGGGCAGCGTCGAGGGGGGACCAGCTCAGTGGGGAAACATCGACCTGGAATCGGCGACACGTCGCCGATGCATCGGTGATATGCTCCCGGTAGCGAGACCGCACGTCCCCCGGCGCGGTGCGCTGTCGGAGCCCTGTCGGCGATCAATGGGCGAGCGAGCGTCGACGCGTCCTCCCCTTGAGCCTATCTCCCCGCAGACGTTGCCCCTGAACTCCCCCCTTACGGTCGGAGTCGCTGCTCCCGAGAGTGGGAACAAACAAGGTCGGATATCTTTCACCGCACCGACATTGCAGACGTGCTGCAGCGGATGCTTGCGTGGATTTCTGCCATTGCAAAACCCCGAAACGGTGAGTGAACAACGAAGTGGGTTTCGCGTGGATGTTTTTTTAGTCCTCATTCCTGGCCCAAACAAATCCGCGCGAAATTCACCTCGAACTCTGGAGCGAAATTCTCAAAAACACCCCGGGCCCACCCTCTCGTTCTCCGGCCGAAATCCACTCTGCGGTGTCGGCGCCATGACACCTTCGCGCTCCGAGAGCCACGCGCAGCGCCGCGCCGCAGAGGGGCAGCCCTCCAGCGCAGGCCACGCGCCCGGGGAGCGTCCCAGGAGAGGGCTTCGCCCACACCACGGCCCGAGGCACGCGCGCCGCGCAAGGGGAGGGGGCCCATGGGACGTGCAGGAAGGAGGAGTCGGCGGCGCGCACAAAGGGGGGTGGAGGGAGGGGGGCGGGCTTCATAGAAGGAGGCTGCTTCTGAGAAGGCGCCTGCCTTGCATCTGTACGGCAGGTTCGTGTCGTGCCGACCCCAGCGTTGGTTTTTGACACCGCAGGGATCATTCAACCTTGAACGATCGGCCGCTGCCGCAACGTCCGATCGTTCAACATCCACCGATTCTGGGCCGCCGGCGGCGTTCAACCTTGAACGCCCGCGCTGGGGTCGCCGCTGGTCGACACGACGCAAACCTACCGTAGAGAGGGCCCGCGCGTTCTAAGAAGCAGGGGTGCTTCTGAGAAGCCCTTCCCCCCTCTCCCCACCCCTCTCTGCGCGTGACTGAAAAAGAGGCGGCCACGCGACCCGGGGAGATCTCATGGCCCTGGACTTGGGACAGAAAAGCATCCTCCAAGAACAGGGAGACCCTTCGCCGGCCAAGACAGACAACATATCCAAGGGTGTGCCCTCCCCCAGGGTGCACAGGAGCATTCAGCACGCACGGAGAACACGGTACCCTCCCCGCACCGACCTCGACCTTAGACCTCGGTTCGACCGTACTCCTCCTCCTCCTCCTTTTTCTCCTCCTTCTCCTCCTCCTCCTCCTCCTCCTCCTCCTTCTCCTCTCCTCCTCCCCCCTCCTCCTCCTCCTCCTCCTCCTCCTCCTCCTCCTCCTCCTCCTCCTCCTCCTCCTACTCCCCTCCCCTCCTCCTCCTCCTCCTCCTCCTCCTCCTCCTCCTCCTCCTCCTCCTCCTCCTCCTCCTCCTCCTCCTCCTCCTTGGCCGCCCCCGACCTTCGCGCTCCGCGCCGTGCGCTGCGTGATCACCCGCGCGCCCGCCAGCCCAGGCCACGGAGGCGGAGGCCTCGCGAGCGCTTCTTTCGCTGACCCCCGCTGGCCAAACCGAGACGAGGGGTGACCGACGACTCGCCGAACTCGTCTTCTTCCTCATCCTCATCCTTATCCTCATCCTCATCCTCCTCATCCGCCTCATCCTCATCCTCATCCTCATCCTCATCCTCATCTCCTCACCCTCCTCCTCCTCCTCCTCCTCCTCCTCATCATCATCATCATCATCATCATCATCATCATCATCATCATCATCATCATCATCATCATCATCATCATCATCATCATCATTATCATCCTCATCATCATCATCGTCATCATCATCATCATCATCATCATCATCAGCAGCTGGGTCAGCTGTCCCTCCCCAGAACCCTGCCTCGGGAGAGCCTGGCTCGGCACGGGGTCGGGGCCCTGCGGGGCCCCCCAGGGGTCCAGGGGGCTATGCTGGAGGAGGAGTCATCAACACAGACATAAACGTTGGAAGCTCCGCGCGGAGCTCCGAATCTTATGTTTGTGCCTTTGTTTGTTCCCTGAGTTACTTATCTGCTCCAGATGTGCCCCATGGCCTGGCAACAAAAGCCCCAAACATTTCGAAGTGCGTCCAACATGCTCTGACATAGTTCCCGGGCCGCGTCCTGGAGCCCCTCTTTGGCGCCTTCTCGGACGCCCTCGGCATCCAAGGTTACCCGCGGGTCGGCGGTGCGGCGTAAGCCAATGCAATGCGGTCCTGAACTTTCGCTTAGCGTGCCGCTGCGGCGGCCCTAACGATACGCTATGCCCTGCGAGCGGATAGCGTGTCGCTACGCTCCGCAGGGCGAGAGGCTGGGAAATGCTCGGGACGTTGACGCTCGGGGGCGGCGACGTGGATATCGTGTCGCGCAGAGGCGTGGTTGGCCAGAACCGGCGGCGCGACACGCGAACCAAAAGTTCCCAACACTAGCCCCCGAGAGGGTTGGGGATGTTCGCCCGCGCGGCAGGAGAGCCCAGAATCGAATCGATAAGTCGGATCGGCGATCGAAATGAGTCGAATCGGCGGGAATCGGCAACCAAGTTGGGAGAAATCGGACCGGTGGAAATCGGCAAATTGGCAGGCCTCCATGGAGAAACCAGAATCCATAGTCGGAGTCCCACCAGCCCTCTGGGCGTCGGTGGTCTAGAGGATTTCCTCTTCCAACCCCCTTCTTCCCCTTCGGGGATGGGTTTACCCCTCCCCCTACCCCCTCCCCTGGACCTGGACGGAGGGTTCCGCGGGTCGTTGGGGCGTCCAAGATGGCCCAAGACGGCTCCAAGAGCGAAAAGGCGAGAAAATACAAAACATTGAATTTCCCTAGGTTTTGGACTGATTTTGGCCTTTTGGGGGCCCCAAGAGGCGATTCGAGGCACTCTAGAGAGGCAGGGCTCTAGAGAGGCAGGGCAGGCACTCTAGAGAGGCACTCAGAGAGGGCAGCTCCCAAGAGCGCACCAAGAGCGCCCCAAGAGAGCCCCAAGACGCCCCAAGAGGCGCCCAAGAGGCCTCCAAGAGGCCCCCAAGAGATCCCCAAGAGCCCCAAGAGGCCACAAGAGGCTCCCCGAGATACGCGAGAGGCCCCCAGGACCGCCAAGAGGCCCCAAAGACGGCCCAAGGGGCCCCCAAGCTCGCCATTGTCCTCCTCCTCCTCCTCCTCCTCCTCCTCCTCCTCCTCCTCCTCCTCTTTTTCCTCCTCCTCCCTCCTCCCCCTCCCTCTCCTCCTCCTCCTCCTTCTCCTCCTCCTCCTTCTCCTTCTCTTTCTCCTTCTCCTTCTCCTTCTCCTTCTCCTTCTCCTTCTCCTTCTCCTTCTCCTCCTTCTCCTCCTCGTCCTCACCCTCTTCCATCTCCTCTCCTCCCCCTCCTCCTCCTGCTCCTCCTCTTGCTCCTCCTCTTCCTCCTCCTACTCCGACGACGACGACTCCTGCTACATCCTCCCCCTCTTGGGGCATATGGCGGCTTACCCGCCCTTTGATCTTCTGCATGCTACCCCGCTTCCATCATCACCTCCACTCCCCTGGGGCTCATTTCTGGACGGGCTGGTGGGGATACCTTTTTGGTCGGCGGCCGCGCGACAAAGGTCAGCCGGCAACAGGCGTGTCCGGGACGGCGGAACAGGCAAATTCCACGCTAAGCGTGCAATGCACGTGCACTGAGCAAAATGCTCCGCATACACTGGGACACACCAAGCGCACGGAGGTGCAAGCTGCGGAGTAAGTCGCCCTTGCGGCGCCAAGCTCCGAGCAACTGCCCAGACAGACAACAGTGTACCCGCCTGGGACGCCAGCTGCACGTAGTGGGAACGAAGCCGACGACGCCGAAGGCTGACCCACTCGGCGCGCGGCCATCGGAACCTACCACAGACTGTAGACGCTGGCCGAAGACCCGAAACACAGTGCCGCGCGGGTGTGGGAGCGCTGCTGCAGCCCACGGAGAGCGACAGGTGTGGAAGGGGAGCGCAGCTCACCGCCGCAAGAAGTACGAAGCTGAAGGGCAGCTGCACACCGACTGGTGGGAATACGGAAAGCGACTAAAATTCGAGGCCGAATCGAATCGGAATCGGAAGCCATCGACATCGAATCGAAATCGAATCGGAAGAATCGAAACGAACCCTGGCGCGGCGCCGTCTTTAGAAAAACGCCATAAACAAAATCTTTTGCCGCTCCGCGCGGATTTCTTGGATCCGTGCTAGACTCCCCTCCCTGGCGCTCGAAGCGCGCAGCGGCGGCGCTGGAGGCGCCGTCGGGGGGCCCCGGCGCGGATCCAAGAAATCCGTGCGGACCGGCGAACGTTTATGGTTATGACGTTTTTTCTTCTTCGAGGCCGAATCGAATCGGAATCGGAAGCCATCGACATCGAATCGAAATCGAATCGGAGGAATCGAAACGAGCCCTGACTAGACGAGCGCGCTCCACTACTCGCAAAGCAGCTGCTTGCAAATGGCCTGGATCTGCCACAAGGGACCTACGATAAAACACATCACAACAACAGGTGCTTTTCGGACATTTTCGGGGATCTTCTGACCTGGGTCAATCCAAACCCGGGTCAATCAGACCTTGCAGAATCCTGCAAGATCCCGCAAGATCCTGCACCCAAACCCGGGTCAATGCGAAGGACCCTGCAAGATCCTGCAGGATCCTGCGCCCAAACCCGGGTCAATGCGACCCCGGCCCTGCAGGATCCTGTGAGATCGGGCGCTCTGGCCGACCCCCGTTTGCACTGACCCCCGTCTCAAGGCCCCCGAAGTTTGCGAGTACACGTTGTTCATGTCTAATCGTGCTCATTTCTAATTGTGCTCGTTTCTCATTGTTCCTGGCCCCCTAGTGGCCAGGAAGAGGCCCAGGATAGAACAATCAGACATGAAAGGATCTTGCCCACCCCGAAAAATCAAAGAACTCTCGAAGAATTAGGCATGAACAATGAGTACTCCAGATGCTTCAACAAGCACCCCCCCCGTGCCAACCTGTCCGACGCCCCTTGCCCGCCCCCCCACGCGCCCCAAACCCACCCCCTCTCGCTCCCCAACCTCCCCACGCCCCCCGAAGGACAGCGGCTTCCCCCCCCCCCCCCCCACGCGATCCACCCCCCCGCGCTTGTGGAGAGACCTGGAGAGTGTGTGCTTTGCGAGTTGTGGAACGCGCTCGGCGACTGGCGCGGCGCCGTCTCTGCTGCGCGCTCCAGCCGAGGGCGCCCGCGCACCCGCCGCGGCCTCGCCGGGGCCCCCGCCGCGGGTCCTGGGCCCGCCCAGCCAGGTGCCGACCCAGTCCTCCTGCGGAGAGGGGCCCCCAGGGGGCGGGTGCTGGCACGCATGTGCTTGCTGCTGTTGCTCATCCTCCTCCTCCTCCTCCTGCTCCTGTTCCTCCTGCTCCTCCTGCTCCTCGTCCTCCTGCTCCTCCTCCTCCTGCTCCTCCTGCTCGTCGTCCTCGTCCTCCTCCTCTTCCTCGTCCTCGTCCTCGTCCTCGTCCTCCTCCTCCTCCTGCTCCTCCTTCTGCTCCTCGTCCTCCTCCTCCTTCTCCTGCTCCTCGTCCTCCTCCTCCTGCTCTCGCGTGAGGCTCACGAGCTGCGGAAGCACCACAGGCTGAAACGCTGCGGCCGCGGTCGCCATCGGGACGAGGCACGAGCCCAGACATCCGCCGACACGATTCCTTCAGTCCGCGGCCCCAGGCCCCGACCCCTTCCCTGGGGGTGTCTTCTCGTCCTGGATCCATCTTTGTGAAGGGGCCCTGGGGCACACGAATAAATACACGCAAATCAAAGGATTTCCCATGCTTTCCTTTATTTTCTTGGTTTTTGCCTTCCCCCCCACTTCCCCATATTTTCCCATATTTTCGGGGGAATCGACGATTCATTGTGTCCGTGTGTTTCTTTCCCTCCTGAGTCTTCTCGTCCTGGATCCATCTTTGATGGCCCCCAGGCCCTCAAAACTACCTCAAAGATGCCCCAGAATAGTCAAACAAAAGTCCCCAGACTTTTTTTTTTTAAAACTATTTTTGAAGATCCTACCCTTAGAGGGACGGGCCCGACATCATCCTGGATCCATCTTTGATGGCCCCCAGGCCGAGTCCGGGCCCCGGAGGCCGCGACCCCGGAAGAGCCGCCAGATCGACCAACAAATCAGATCCTCGGACCTCCTGGGAATCCCGCGCCGAGGCTGGGCGCCACGGTGCGGCGGGGCACGAGCTCCGAGGGGAGCGGGTCCCCGTTCTCGCCGTCGCTCGGACGCCTCTCCCCCGAGCACTTTTGGACTTCGCCCGTGTCCTGTTTGCAGGATGAGCCGAGATGCTCCTCGATGGTCCTCGCAGGGGGCAGAGCACACGTCCGAACGATGCCAAGCAAACCGCGCTGATGATCAGCGCCGTGGTGCTGAGAGGAACGGGCCCCGAGGGGAGCGGGTCCCCGGCACCCCGCCCAGGGCCTCCCCGCCCAGGGCCAGGAAGCTCCCCGCCCCGAGCTGCATCGCCCGGTGCATCGGCGATGGGCCCCCGATGCCGAGGCCGCACTGTCCTGGGCGGGGTGGGCCATCGGGACCCTATCGGCAATGAATGGGGCGATTGGGGGTGGATGCATCCCCCCTGAGCCCATCGCTCCCTAGCATTGCCCCCGACAGGGCCTTTCCCCCATCACGTCAAGCAAATGTCTGCGAAGCCGATGCCACGCACAGGCTTCAGGTGAACTAGAGGACTGCGGACAGCCGAGAATCGAGCCCGCTAAAACAGGCTAGGGGCAAGCTTGACGTAAGCCGGAATGACCCTCAAGGCATGCTCAGGGCGAACTAGACATAACTCCACAACCATCCTAGAACAAACCAACACATGCTAGAACGGCGGCTCTCTGACGTACTCGTGGACGTCCCGGGGAATCATGGGGGGGCGGGTCACAATGATAGTTTCTTCAGCGAGGTGGAGAGATCTCAGGGGAACCTAGGGTGTCGGGTCGGATGACGATTGCTGCTGGGATCCTGTGCACAAGAAATTTTGAACTCCGCTCGGACAAGCCTAATGGGACTTGAAGAGGAGGAGAAGGTTCCGGGGTGGAAAACAAGGAACAGGGGAAACTTCGGGGTAGAGGGGAGGAGGAGGAGGAGGAGGAGGAGGAGGAGGAGGAGGAGGAGGAGGAGGAGGAGAAGGAGAAGGAGGAGGAGGAGAAGGAGGAGGAGGAGAGATGGTAAGATGGGGAGGGGGCGGAATCAAGTGGACGGGAGGACGTCGCTTACGGCGGACATGTCCACCACCACGATGTCAACAATTCTGACAGAAACAGCAAGGGCAACAATAACAGCAATCACCATCGCAATAACAAACTATGAATTGCACCATGCAGCGGCGTCGACTACACATGATTGAATTCCAATCGTATCCCATATGGCAACGCGTGGTTCAAGAGCGGGCATGGGTACCGAACGCATGATGGTGACATTTGGCGGCAGAGCAAAACATTAACACAACATACCCAAACAAAAACGACAACGGCTAACGACGACCGCAAATTCGTCTGGCAAAAGCGAGGGTGCCAATCCGGAGGATCTTTCGCGCAACCTGCAAAGTACTCGTCTTTCATGTAGCAATTCATGCCAGCCTGGGACCGCGCCGAGGATCTAGAACTCCATCCTCCTTCTCTTCCTCATGCCTCCCCCTGCTGAGCCACCTTCTCCCCTTCCTCCTCCTCCTCCTCCTCCTCCTCCTCCTCCTCCTCCTCCCACTCTTCCTCCGTCTCCCTATCCTCTTTTATCATGACTGTCCTCCTCCGTATTGTCATTCTCCTCATCCTCCTCCACATGGTGAAGCTGGACTTGAGTCCGGACCCTTTCACATACACAAGCACTCACACGCACACCAACCGCAGTATAGAAACTCCCGGGGGCTAGCAGATCGGGTGCTCCTGGAGCGGGTTCATCGAACGATTCTGATCACATGGACAGTTCAAGAGCATGGCCTCCCCAGCTCATGCACTGTTTTCCTTGGGATGGGCTGCGAGCTGATAGATCAAGGGCGGAGGTGGAATAGAAGCATGGGGCAGGACGAGGAGGTGGCGCAGGAAGGATGAGTAAGGGACATGACCATCGATGATGATGCTGCTGATGATGATGCTGATGGTGATGACGATGATGATGATGGTGAATGACATGACGCAGCTGCCGAGGACGACGACAGCGTGATGCTGATGATGACGATAACGATAACGATGATGACGATGACGATGATGCTGCTGATGATGATGGTCGAGATGATGATTATGATGATGATGCTGATGATGATGCTGACGAGGATGATCATGCTGCTGATGATGATGATGATGACGACGATTATGATGCTGCTATGGTGATGATGATTATGATGATTATGATGCTGCGGCTGATGATGATGCTGCTGCTGATGATGCTGCTGATGACGACGATGACGATGTTGCTGCTGATGATGATAGTGCTGATGTTTATGATGCTGCGCCTGATGATGATGATGACGACGACGATGCTGCTGCTGCTGATGATTATGATGATTATTATGTTTCTTCTTCTTCTTACGATGATTATTGGTATCATTTGTATTATTCTTCTTCTTCTTCTTCTTCCTATTACTACGATTATCATGGTCATGGTGGTGATGCTTTCTTGTTTGATGAGGCCCTCCGAGCAGGTCGTCCATCGTTAGATCCTGGCGCCTCATCCTCGCCCAGCGAGCCCTCCTCTCTCTGCCGAGCGCCCGCCGCTCGGCCCTGGCCCGGGAGGCCTCGGCCCTTGCCGCGGCCGCCCGCGCGAGCCGCGCGCGCCGCAGCCGCGCCCCGTCCAGCCGCCGCCACCCGGCCAGCAGGCGGGAGATCTGCGCCTCCCGCAGCTCCAGGGGCCCCGAGCAGTGCCGCCAGCAGCGGCTCCCCGCGTCCTCCCCGGCCATGCGCCGGGCCTCGGCGGCCTCGAGCCGCCGCTCCCGCCGGTCCTGCCGTCGCTGGCGCCTCTCCTCCCGCAGCATGGCCTCCCTGCCGCGGCGCTCCAGGTGGGCCTCCCGCCGCGCGCCGCGCGCCGCGCGGCGGGCGAGCTCCAGCTGCCCGCGCTGCCGCTCTTCCTCCATGGCCATGCGCTCCCGCTCCCTGTACGGCCGGTTCTCCTGGCGGTAGGTGCTCAGCCTCGCGTCCCACGCGTCCCGGCAGTGGCCCGCAGAGCCCACGAGGTCGAGCCACGTGCTGCGGAATGCCTCCCACTCCGCGGCGTCGGTGTCCAGGCGCTGCCGGCGCTCGGTGCGGGCCGCGTATCCGAAGAGGTGGGTGCGGAAGCGGTCTAAGCTCGCCCACGCCGCCAGAGCCTGGTCCAGGTCATGGCAGGCGGGGCTAGATAGGTGGTGCTTGAACCACCACTTGCAGTACATCTGCACGCTGAAGGTCACGCCGAGCTCGGCAGCGCTGACGCTGTGCTCCGCCAGGACCTCGCTGAAGGCGAGCCTGATCCTGTCCTGCAACGGAACGCCCTGTTCGACACTGGCCCGCTGCTTGATGGCGGTCAGGACCACGAGGCTGTCGAGCGCCCACTGCAGATCCTTGACCTTCCTGGATGAGATCCGCAAGTTGTCCACGCACACTACGGCGCAATAGTGCACAAACCTCCCGCAAACGTGGCGGCTCAGGCCCCTCACCTGGCCGCCTCTCCTGCCTCGCGTCTGGCACCCCGCTGGGCCAGCGGTCGCCAGGCCGCCGCCTCCCGCGTCCTCGAGCGCGGCAGCCTCAAACAGTTCCTCCTCGGTGCCGCTCGAGGCCTCCGGGCCCTCTGGCCGCCCGAGTCCCTCCGGGTCCTCTGGCCGTCCGAGCCCCGCCGTCTCGGCGGACGCCTCCGAGCCAGATGCATGGCCGCCCCAAGCGACCAGCGCGCACGGCGCCGCCGCCGCCGGGGCGGCCCGCGCAGCGCGCGCCCAAGCCTCGAGCTCCAGCCTCTCCGCCTCCGTGAGCAGCCCCTGCAGCGCGGCACGCCGGTGCTTCGCGGGCAGCGCGCGCAGCAGGGCGAAGATGCCGCCGATGAGCCGCCCGCGCCTCGGCGCGGCTCCCCGCCCGCGGGGCCGCCGCCTCGCCCGCCCGGCCGCCTCGCGCCCGGGCTCCGCGGCGGCACGCCTGGGCGGCGGCCGCGCGCGCCCGGCGGCGCGGGCCCCTGGCCCCTGCCCGCGGCGGCTCCGCTGGCCGCCCCGCCGCGGGCTGGTCGGCGCGGCGCCCCGCGGCCGCGGCCGCGCTGCGTGGCGGGCCGCGGCAGGGGACCGCACCCTGTGCCCGCCGCGCGCCTTCCGCCCCCGGCGGCTTCCAGGCACGCCCGGCGGCCAGCCGCTGGTCGTACGCGGCGCGCGCGCCCTGGTCGAAGAGGGTCTCGAAGGCGTGCAGTACCTGCTGAAAGGCCTCTTTGGAGCCGCCCTTGTCCGGGTGCATCTGCAGCGCGCGCCGCCGGAAGGCCAGCTTGATCTCGGCGACGTCGGCAGCGGCGCCCACCCCGAGCAGCTCGTAGAACGTCTGCGCTGACATGGTCCAGGCCTTTTGGGATGCTCGAGCCAGGCCGACCTGAACCCAAATGGCTTGAGCCAAAAAGGCCACGGGATGATGATGAGGATGAGATATCTGATATTGACGATGATGGTGGTGATGAGGATGGTGGTGATGATGATAAGGAAGAGGATGATGATGATGATGATGATGATGCTGATGATGGTGATGATGATGATGATGATGATGATGCTGATGCATATTCTGATGCTGCTGATGGTGATGATGCTGATGATGATGGTGACGAGAATGATGATCAAGAGCGATGAGACTTGTGATGATGATTATGATGAGGGTATGAATATGATGCTGACGGTGATGCTGCTGCTGATGATGGTGGTGGTGATACTGCTGCTGCTGATGATGAGGGTTATGAAGCTGATGATGCTGACGATTATACTGCTACTGAAGATGTCGCGGATGATTATGCTGATGATGCTGCTGCTGATGATGATGCTGATGGCGACGATGCTGATGATGACGATGCTGGTGATGGTGATGGTGATGGTGATGATGCTGATTCTGATGACGATGATGATGATGCTCATGCTGAGGCTGATGCAGATGCTGATGATGAGGGTGATGAAGCTGATGACGCTGACGATTATACTGCTACTGAAGATGTCGCTGGTGATTATGCTAATGGTGCTGCTGATGATGATGATGATCATGATGAGGATGATGATGCTGATGATGCTGATACTGATGATGACGACGATGATGATACTGATGCTGATGCTGCTGATCATGATGGTGATGGTGGTGATGATGGAGATGATGCTGATGATGATGATGATGAGGATGATGATGATGCTGACGGTGATGATGATGTTGATGTTGACGATGATGCTGATGATTATGAGGATGATGATGCTGATGATGCTGATGATGATGATGATAATGACGGTGATGATGCTGTTGATGCTGATGCTGCTGCTGCTGTTGCTGCTGATGATGATGTTGATGATGTTGATGATGATGATGATGATGATGATGCTGATGATGATGGTGATGATGATGATGATGATGACGGCCGCTGTCTGATGGTAGTTTTAGCTTCGGCAATGTGTTCTGGCTCTGCTGCACAGCTTTCCCTTTTGACTCCCGTTGCCTCACATTTCCAGTCAGATGTAGACCTACGTTTCCGAACTGCGTTCCACACGTGCTTGCTCTGCGACTCCTGGTCTGGGCTTCTGGCCGCGGACCGTGGCCTTGGGCCCGATTCCAGCCGGCAACAGCCCTGCGATTCTTTACTGCGCTCCGCAAGAGTCTGCTCTCTGAGACTCCCAGCCTGGACTCGCGGCCACGGGCCTCGGCTGCAGAGGGGGACCCACCTCGGCGAGAGTGCGGCGGGGGGGGAGGACGGGTGTGGAGGAGGGAGAAGAGGGACACGGGCAAGTTTGGCGCGCTTGCGCCATATCTGCCATCCTACCCCTCCTACCCATCCCTTCCCATTGCGCTTGCGTTTTCACGGTGTATCGGGCGGCGCGTGTCATGGCGAACCTCAAACTCCCAAACGAACCCCATCGTGTTATGCACAATCGGCACAGGGGAGCTGCGTACATGAGAGGAGGAGGTGGCGGATGAGCAGAAGAAGGGAGGAAGAGGAGGAGGAGGAGGAGGAGGAGGAGGAGGAGGAGGAGGAGGAGGAGGAGGAGGAGGAGGAGGAGGAGGAGGAGGGGGAGGAGCAGGAGGAAAAGGAGGAGGAAGGAGGAGGAGGAAGGAGGAGGAGGAAGGAGGAGGAGGAAGAAACGCAGCAGCATGAGCTGGAGAGGAAGGGGCGGGAGGAGCAGGAGGACCAGAGAAAGACGGATGGGGGGGGCGACAGCGACGGGAAAGACTCGGGTCCAGAAAGGTGGCCGCGCTGGGGCGGGAGCGTCATTCTGAACGGCTGGAGCGAAGCGCCGATCCTAAAAGGAGGCCCCGCTGCAGTGGGAGCTCCATTTTGGAAGGACCAGGGACGCTCGGATCAAAGCAACACAGAATACGCCGAGGGGCGCGCGCGACTCTCAGGACGTCTTCGGGGGAGAGAGGAGCGTCGTACTCATATTGTGAAATTGCTTGGCTGCGAGCGAGGCGGGGAAATGAGAAGGAGAAGGCCTTCTCAGAAGGCGGCGGGACTTCTCAGAAGCCCTCGCGCCTTCTGAGAATTTGTTCTGTCTTCGGGGAAAACTTCGAACTTCTCAGAAGGCCGGGGGACTTCCAAGACTTCTGAGAAGGCCCGCCCCTTTTCACTTTCCCCCCTCGCTCGCCGCCGAATTGTGGAGGAGGGCGACCGGGGGAGGTGAGTGGAGGAGAGGGTGAGGAGGAGAGGGGAGGAGAAGGGAGACGCGCAGACAACCGCCCGCACGACCTCCCGCTGAAGGACGGAGCCGACCATCAAGAGGGCCAGGACGCTCCGCGGACCGTTCGCCAGGGCAAGGGGGAGGGAGGGATGATGATGATGATGAGGAGGAGGAGGAGGCGGAGGAGGAGGAGGAGGAAGAGCAGGAAGAGCACGAGGAGCAGGAGGATGCTGAACAACAATTCGCTTCCTGTAGGGGTGAAGGTCCCCAGGTGGCTGGGCAATGTACGAGCAGCCACCTCTGTGGGTCCAACCTCTAGCAGCGAGCGTTGGAAAGCTCCAGCTTGGGGCGTGACATACCCAAGAGGAGGAGCAGGAGGTGGATGAGAAGATTGGGGGCACAGTGCAACGGCGGGGCAGGGAGGATGCAGGAGGAAGGGGGGGTGGCACATGGCGCCGAGAGCGCGGAGGGCGGAAGCGGCAAGGAGAGCGGCAAGCAAACGAGGTGGGTGAAGGAGGTGGTGGTGGTGGTGGTGGTGGTGGTGGTGGTGGTGGTGGTGGTGGTGGTGGTGGTGGCGGTGGTGGAGGTGGAGATGGGGGGGGGGGAACCAGGGAGCGGGGAGCGCAGCACAGAGATGCAGGAGGTAAGAGGCAAGAGTCGGCTCCGAGCTGGGGCGCCCTTTGGCCTGCCGGCTGCCCCCTCCCCCCCCCCCCCGCGCGCGCGCGCCCGCGCGGAGGGCTCCGGGCGTCCCGAGGAGGGCGGTCGCCGCCAGGCCCTGAGCCGCAGCACTTCGGCCGCCGCGCCGCACTTCGGCGGCGCATCGGGGGCCGAGACCCCGCCTCGGCGTCGGCGGAACGAAGATGGGGGCCTTGAGGGATGGGGCCCTACAGCCGCACATGTGATCGAGCAAGTTTCTTGTAAGCCATCTGGGCAAGCTTCGTGCGATCAAACCAACTGTCATGTAAGAAGTCTGGGCCAGCTTCCGGGAAGCTTCTTAAAACAATTACCCCAGTGCGACCCTACCTAGAAGTTGGAGCCCCTAGGAAAGCAGCATTCGTTGCTATGCTATGCTATGCTATGCTATGCCATGCCATGCCATGCCATGCCATGCTATGCTGCGCTATGCAATGCTATGCTATGCTATGCTATGTTATGCTGCGCTATGCTATGCTATGTGATGCTAAGCTATGATATGTCATGCTGCGCTGTGCCATGCTGAGCTATGCTATGCTATGCTAAGCTGCGCTATGCTATGCTAATGCTATGCTGCGCTATGCTAAGCAACGCTAATCTAAGGGGACGTAACTGGGGGAACCGCGAGGCGGATGTCGGGGGAACCGCCCGGGGCGCTTTGCACTGCCCGGCCCTTTAAGCACACAGGGTAAGAACCCTTCTAGGCAGAGCCTAGGTAGGGAAAACATCTGGGCCAGCTTCCGGGAAGCTTCTTAAACAAAAAACCTGGGTCAACTTCTGTTGTTCACGCTGGAAAGGCGAACGTGCTCAAGAAACTGGGCTAGCTGTTCGGGAGGAGGTTTTTGAACCACATGTTCGACCGCAATGACAGGGAGGGGACCCCACGTTGAGCCTTCACTCAGTGAGACCCCTCGTCCTGAGGGCCCCACCCCTCAGCGAAAGGGGCGTGATCCAGGGGGGACCAGCTCGGGGAGGTGGACATCGACCTGGAGTCGGCCCTACATGGCCGAGAGATCGCGATGTGCACCCGACAACGAATCCGCGAGAGCTTGCGCGGATCAAGCCCAGGAGCCTGCGGATCGAGCCCAGACGTCCCGTTCCAGGGCTATCTCGCTCCTGCCGGCGATGCGAGGGCGAGTGGGGTCCGACGCATTGCACCCTGAGCCTGTCCCCCCCCTAACCTCCTCCTCCTCCTCCTCCCTCCCTCCCTCCCGCTCCCTCGGTTTTCGGGCGAGAGCCCGGACCTCCGGCGACCGCTCGGGATGATCCGGGCGCCCCCGGAACGTCCTCGACGATCGACCAGAGAAGCAGCTACTGGGAGCCACCCTGGGCCTCGAGGCCTGCCGAAACACTTTTTCGGGGGCTCGCGGCGAGTTGTCTCCAATGAGTATCGTTTATCCGATCCCCATCCCCAGCGGCGTGGATTGGGCCCCACTGGCCGATTTACCCCCTAGATGGGGATATATGCCGTTCCCTTCGGGTTTCGAGGGGTGTATCCCCAACTGGGGGGTAATTTGGCGGGGGTCTCGAAGGGGATTGAGATGGGGATGGGGATCGTTTGGCCGATACCGATCCAAGAAGCGGTCAGAGAGCACTGGGGCGCAACGGCAGAGTGATTTGGAGCTCAGGAGGCGAGCGCCGGGGCGAGAGCGCATGAGCGGAAAGGCATGGAAGGGGGAGGAGGGGGAGGTGAAGGAGGAGGTGGAGGAGGAGGGGGAGGAGGAGATGGAGGAGGAGGAGGAGGAGGAGGAGGAGGAGGAGGAGGAGGAGGAGGAGGAGGAGGAGAAGGAAAAGGAGGAGGAGGAGAGGAGGAGGAGGAGGAGAGGAGGAGGAGGAGGAGGAGGGAGGAGAGGAGGAGGAGGAGGAGGAGGAGGAGGGGGAGAAGGTGGAGAGGAGGAGGAGGAGGAGGAGGAGGAGGAGGAGGAGGGAGGAGGAGGAGGAGGAGGGGGAGGAGGAGGAGGAGGGAGGAGGAGGAGGAGGAGGAGGAGGAGGAGGAGGAGGAGGAGGGGGAGGCGGAGGAGGAGGGGGAGAGACCACACGGGCTGGCCGAACCACGCCCCCGATGGCTCGAAGCCTCCCCTCTCGAGCCGCTGGCCGCTGGCGAGCGCTGGCTGAACAGCCGCGGGGCGCCCAGGCCGAGCGTCGCGCCCGCGTGACTCCGGCAGGGGGGTGGCGCCGGGTCCGCGCGCGCCGCGGGGGGCGGCGGCGTCGGGCTCACGTCGCGGACCGCGCGGCGGCGTTCGGGCGGAGCCCTCGCTCCTGCAGCCCATCCGTATGGTATATAGAGGTCAAAGAATCCACCGCAATGATAAGCACCCTGGCACGCGAGGTCGTTTGGTAAACGCGCCCAAAGGAGGAATCGAACAGGGCAAGGCTGTTTATTTGGACGCCCGAAATGGGTACCGAAAGAATGGGTACGATGCCCAACAACAAATGTTGTCCCAAACCAACAGCGGCCGCTGTTTGGGCAGGCGGCCTGCTGTCTTAAATGTACACAGGCCGCGGCGACACCGACAGCGAGTCCTGTTCAAAATGGTCAAGAACCGCTGTTGGGCATTGTACCCATTCTTTCCGTACCCATCTCGTTCGTGCAGAATAGAGGTCAAATAATCCACCGCAATGATAACCACCCCGGCACGCGAGGTCGTTTGGTAAACGCGCCCAAAGGAGGAATCGAACAGGGCAAGGCTGTTTAGTAAACGCCAATTGTTCGGTCCGGGTCGTTTTTCCTCCCTTGATAATAAGGATGCGCGGTCAGGATGCAACGGCCTTGGAGGGCCATGTTATCGTGTTTTGAACGAGGTTGGCCAGCGAAAGTTACCAAGGATGGGCCGAAAAGACAACGATGCAAGGGTAGCCTTGGAAAGTCGCTCCTCCCTACTATGCGGGCTGACTGTATCTGCGACCAGTTGCGAACCGTGCGGTCGGGAACTTTTGGATAGATCGTCGCCGCGGCGGCGCCGCCGACACGCTGTGTCCTGCAAGCGGACAGCGTGTCGCTCCGCTCTGCGGGACGGGAGGCTCGGGAAAACTCGGGACGTTGAAGCCTTGGGACCAGGAAGTGGGTAGCGTGTCGCTCTGGAGCGTGGTGGGCCAGAACCGGCGGAGCGACACGATATCTGAAAGTTCCCGACCGTATCCCTGCGGGTCGACTCGACGCTGGGTATCGGACACCCCCGCTGGGGTTCGCTCCTCTGCAGATATCCTTCGAAGTCTGAACCCCAGCCGACGTTTCCGACCTCCGCCCTGGAGGGGTACGTAGGGTTCACACGCGGTTGCCCATCCCAGGGACAAGGAGGAGCAACCCTACCACCAGCGCGAGGATCCAGGGGAGGTCCCCCCGGTGGTGTGTCCCCCCACCCCCCCTCCTTGCTCGGGACGCCACCTTTTCCCCAACATCGTGGACCTCCTCGGTGGAGGTGGCCCTGGCCCTGGCGGCGGTGGTGGCGGATTTTGTGTCCCCTGGCGCTCCAGCATCTGCTCGAGCAGCCGCGGAGCCCTGTCGGCCGTCTCTTCGCACCTCTCGCAGGCGCCGATCAGCGCGTTGAACGTGACGGTCGGCGGCCCGAAGGGGGGCGGGAGGTCGCGAGGTGGGGGGCCTTCGGAAGGGCGGGGGGGGTCCTCTCCCTCCTCCTCGTCGTCCTCCTCCTCCTCCTCCTCCTCCTCTACCTCCTCCTCCTCCTCCTCGTCCTCCCCTCTCCTCCTCCTCCTCCTCTCCTCCTCCTCCCTCCTCCTCCTCCTCCTCCTCCTCCTCCTCCTCCTCCTCCTCCTCCTCCTCCGCCTCCTCCATGCCTTCGGAAAGGCGCTTTTGGGTCTGCGGCGGGCTGGGTCCAGCAGGCGGTCGGTTCGCCACGGGGCGCCTTCGGAGAGGCACGCGCTACGACATGGACTAGGGATCCGCGGACCTGGCGCGTGGGCGCCAGGCCCACGCACGGGGGGAGGTGCCCCCGAGGCGTGAGGCTAGAGGCGCTGATTCTGCGACGGGGCGCGCCGAGTCTGTACGGGAACGGGGCCCGTCGCTAATCCACGCGCCTTGTGCATGTCCGCGCTTGCTCGACTCTCAGAAGGGCTTGGAGGCTGTGAGATGGCGGGAAGGCTTTTGAACAAAAGCCCCCCCCGGCTTCCCCAGAAGGCCGCGCGCCGGCCCCTCGCGCCACCCCTTGTCGCGCGCCGCCGAGGTGGCGTTGGGCTCCACCCCCTCCCGCTGCATCTCCTCGAACAGCTCCAGGGCCCTCCTGGCCCTGCCGGCCTTCTCGCACGCGGAGATGAGCGCGCTGTAGACGACGACGTCGGGCGCGAGTCCCTCGCCCCTCATCTGGCCCAGCAGCCGCAGGGCCTCGTCTGCCCGCGCGACCCTTGCGAGCGCGCTGATGAGAGCGCTGTACGTGATGACGTCGCGGGCAAGCCCCTGACGAGACGAGGCCAGGACTGGGACAACATCGAACCAGGGGCAACATCGGGGACCTCTGCGAATGCGGCAGCTCTGGAGGATGCAGCGGGCGCCGCGCCGGCTCCAGGGCGCTCTGGAGCGCACTCTGCAACGCTCTGGGACGATCCACCTTGGAGGCAGCCATGGGGTGTCAACTGGTTGGGACCCCAAAAAATCGTGCAGGAGGGGGGGACGAAGCCAAATCTGTTCAGAATCGGTCCCCGGATCTTCCCGGGGCCCACCTGGGCCCAGCAACGGCCCCCCGAGGCCGAAACAGGCAAACAGCCCTCCCTGGCCCAGAGCCTCGAGCCTGCCCCACCTTCCTGCTGGCTGGAACCGGCGCTGGGCCACCTCGGACCCCCAGGCGGCTCCTGTCTGGGACGATCTGCCCCGGCCCCAGCCCCACCCGACCTCAGTCCCCATCTCCCCGAAGAGCCGGAGCGCCACCTCTGGGCGCGCGGCCTTCGCGCAGGCGCTGATCAGTGTGTTGTAGGTGACCACGTCGGGCCGCGGGCCACCCGCCCGCATCTCGTCGAGCAGCTGGAGGGCCCGCCCCAGGCGCGAGCACTGCGAGTGGGCGCCGATCGCGCAGTTGTAGGTCACGACGTCGGGCACGGCGCCCCTCTCCCTCATGGACTCGAAGAACTGCGCGGAGCGCTCCGGTTGCTTTGCGTGCATCAGGGCCGCGATGACCGCGTTCAGCGTGTGCGTGTCCAGCGTCATCCCGCGGCCCTCCATGGTGGCGATCATGTCGTCCACAGTGTCCACGCTCTTGTCCTTCAGGCAGGCCCTGACCAAGACGTTGTAGCTGCAGCTGTCGGGCACGATACCCTGGTCCTTCATGACGCCGAATAGCTCCAGCGCCCTCTCCGCGTCCGACGCCCTCTCGCAGACACTCAGCAGCGCGTTGAACGTCATCACCGTGGGCAACACGCCCTCACTCTGCATCTCCTCGAACAGCGACAAAGCCAAATGCAAGTCCTTGCCCTTCCCGCAGGTGGAGATCACCGAGCTCCACGCGACGACGTCTGGCTCGAGGCCCCCGGCCTTCATGCAACGCAGGAAGTCCAGAGCCCCCTGCGCCTTGCCCGCCTTCTCACACGCGGTGATTAGCGAGCTGTCCGCCACCGTGCCTTCAGCACGAAGTGGAGCGCCCCCCACGCCCGAGGCTCGTGCAAGTGATTGCCATTGCTGGAAGAAATTTTGAGATTGCTTGAACAACGGTCTTGAAGGCTCCTCAAGGGAGGCCAAAGCAAATGAGGCTGGAGGGTCGCCTCGCATCGCCGATGCACTGGCGACGCCGGGATCAGAAAATCAGACCCCAGATCGCGCCGATCCCCCGACCCCATCCACTCGGGCCCAATTTGAGAGACCTGGAGCAAGACTCCTGTGCGATTCTGGGGTCTTCCGAGGTCGAGAAGGGCGCCTGCCCAAAACGACCCCTAGATCCTCCAAGATTCTCTCAAGAGGCGCCCAAAAAGGTCCAGGAGATTCCAAGAGGTCCTCGGGAGGCTTCAAGGGACCGAAGGAGGCCCAGAAAAGGCCCCTAGAGCCCTAGAGAGGCTACAAGACGCTCCACGTCAGCCCCAGGACAGCCACAATTCTCAAAACGCAAATAGTCCCACCAGCCCTTTGGGCTAAGGTGGTCCAGAGACATCTTTCTTTCATCTTCCAAAAGCAAGTCCTTTCAGGGCGGCTTACCCCCCCGCACCTCCCTGTTTTTTTGGGGGGCTTCCGCGGGGCGTTAGAGCGTCCATGGCCTCGGCGAAAAAGCCAAAATCATGCCCAATTTGTCAATTTTGATGGCCCCAAGGGGGAGAGGCCAATTTAAGACTCCACCCCTTGGATCGAGGGCCTCCAAGGTGGCCCTAAGAGGTCCCCCAGGGTTCCCAAGGGACTCCAAAGAGGGCTCCAAGAAGGCCAACCCCTCCGAAAAGCCCCAAAAGGACCCCAAGATCCTCCCAAAGAGCCCCAAGATGGCTCCACGAGGGCTTCTGATGCTCCAAGATGTCCTCCAACATGGCTCAAGGCAACCGACGATGGTTCAAGACAGCTTCCTGCATACCTCCACGATGCCCAACGAGGGCCACAAGACGGTTCCAAGTGCTCTCGGAACCCCCTTAGAACCCCCCCAAAGGCCAATAGCATTCAGACATCTAGGGACCATCATTGATTTGTTTGCTTATCACCGTTTCGTTTCCGATGCGCTTTTGAGGCCTCAAGATGAAGATGGCGCAAGGGAGGCCCAAGAGGGCCCAATAGGCCCATCAGACTGCCCCAAGAGCACCCAGAAGCGGCCCAGGAGCGCCCCGAGAGGCGATGTTGACGGCTCCAGGGGTGTACCAAACGTTTCGACCCCCTCGCTTCTCACTGACGCCCTCTACGACAACCCCAAGAGGCCTTCAGGGCTACTAGCAGGCCCCGAGAGAGCCCTAAGAGGGCCCACAAAGAGCCCCAAGAGGACCCCACTATCTTCCAAAAAAGCCCCAAGAGGGCTCCCAGAGGCGATTTTGACGGCTCTGTCCTTATCCTCGTTGTCCTCCTCCTCCTCCTCCTCCTCCTCCTCCACGTCCTCGTGCTTGCCCTCATTGTTTTCCTTTTCCATTTTCTCCTCTTCCTTGTCGTCGTGGTCGTCGTCTTCTTCCTCCTCCTCCTTCTGCTCCTCTTCTCCTCCTCCTCCTCCTCCTCCTTCTCCTCCTCCTCCTCCTCTCCTCGCCACCACGCGGGCGCCAGGGATGGCCCTAAGAGCCCCCTAAGCACCAGTACGGGTCCCAGACGCCAGACAGGATTAAAATGGACGTCGGGACCCAGACGAGACTCCCAGGACTCACTTTCTATAGAGACGATGCAGCAATGGCGGAATCGGCACGATCGCCGGCAAGAGGGGCGATAGAGTCTAGAGCTCCTGGACGCGTACCCGTGCAAGGAAAATTCTACTGTTCAAGCTGTACACGGGTGGGAAGGGGGGCGCTTGAGCCGAACGGTTTCGGTTCGGCGTCCTATCCCCTCCCCTCTTGCTCATACATTGAAATGTGGGGGGCACCAGTACGGGTCCCAGACGCCACAGAGGATTAAAATGGACCTCGGGATCCAGACGAGACTTCCAGGATTCACTTTCTATAAAGACGATGCAGCAATGGCGGAATCGGCACGATCACCGGCAAGAGGGGCGATAGAGTCTAGAGCTCTTGGACGCGAGCCCCGTGCCCGTCAGCCCCATGTGACAGTATGGCCGTCAGGCCGCCAGCTCCCACGCCTTTCTGACCGTTCTGAAGACACAAGAACTTGACAAACTGAAAGAATATGGTCAGCGATAACGTTGCACAGCTTATTGGGGTAAGTAGCTGCCAGAGCCGTCCTGCGGGCGGGGCCCCCTGGATCCCTGCCCGCGAGAACCACGCGGGGGGCCCCGGTGTGCCCGCAGATGCCTTTGGAGCCCCCACACCGGCATAGCAGGCGGTCACAAAGGCCCCCGCCCCATAGGGCAATAGTGGTCGCCTTCCTCCGCGGGGTTCCGAAGGCGCACTGGTCAAAATGATGAAGCCGACAGTCACGCGCACGAAGGAGGGGAAGCAAAGGCGGCGCTAACCACAAGATAGAAGTGCGGGGGTTCTCCAGGCCAACTGGAATACCGTGCCGGCGGCACAACTTGAAGATGGCAATCGAAAAGGACAGCGAGGCGCTACCGAGGTCCACCTTTTGTCGGTTCGCCTCCGAAAGGCCGCGAACCCCCATCGGCTCGTCAGTAATGCGTAACACAATCCGAACAGCACGAGACCACGAAGTACAAGGTGTGCCAAGAAACACTGCAAAGATGGCATTGGAAGAGATCCAGCCCTTCACAACGCGGAGGAAGGCCTTCCTCAAGTGGTCCTCGCAGGCTAAGTGGCACCAATCCAGTGACAGAGCTGCTGCGCGACGCCTGCGAACGGCTGCCGCCAGGCCGCCGCTGCCCCCGAAGAGCTCGAGAAAACAGCGGGACCGCAGCGCGCCTCTGCCGAGCCGCGAACGCCTGACCTCCTGGGCAAACAGCCTGTGGAGGTGTCGGGTCATGTCGTCGTCGGAGGCGGTCAGCGCCGCTTGCGGCAGGCGCTGCGGGCGCCCTTGCCGAACCTGGGGGGCGCGGGCACTCCCGTCGTCAGCAGGGCGTGCACGGCCAGCCCGATCACCGCGTGGCTGCGCGGGTCGAGGAGCCCGTGCAACAGCACCGCCTCCAGGTTGTCGATCACGGACTGGCCGAAAGTCACCACCTCGGGGGGCGCCAAATGGAGGATCGCCAGCAACTTCGACTCCTTGCTGTAACGGCGAAGCGACTTGTCGCTCACCCACCGCCCGCGTCGCTGCACTGCGGCCAGCGGCCTGCGCTGCGTGGCGAGGTCCTCGGAGGCGCCTCCGTGCCGAAGCTGATATAAGCTTGGCCGCAGCGGCCCCAGGTTGAGGAGCCCGGCCGCGGCCTCGAAGCGGGCCTTCAAGTTCCCTGGGGTCAGGTCGCAAAGCAGGCCGTCGGGCTGGAGCGTGCTCTTGAGGGCCTCGAGAGGTCGGATGATCCACGGGTCGAGGTCGAGCAGCACCGACTGGTCCCACGCGCCTGTCTTGCCCAGCTGCAGGGTCATGGCGTCGCCCAGCAGCAGTCCCCAGGCCGCGCGGGCTGGGCCGGCGGCAGAGACGGGCGGCGCAACGTGCCTGGCACGCAGCCTCGTCAGCTCGTGCGGGCGAAGGTACCCGACCAGCGCCAGCAGGACAAACAAGCCCGCCGTCGGCGAGCCTTGACGGATGAGGAGCCCGGCGATCGCCCCCGCCAGCGCGCGCGGCAGCGGTAGCCGCGTCCGCGGTGGCACGCGGCGCCGCCAGGCCGTCGCGCACCTGGCCGCCCGCGGGGGGGGCGAGCGCGTAGCACGCCCCAGCTCCGGCAGCCAGTGCGCGAGTGCAGGCGGCGTCTGCGAGGCGGCGCCCGGCCCGTGCCCCACTAGGTACAGCTCGTTCAGGAACAGCACGAGCACCGAGTCGAGCATCGCCGTCGTCGACCACGTCAGGGAACGTTCCTGGCAGTAGGCCGCGAACTGGCTGAGCAGCGACGCGTGCAGCACCTCGGTCGACGAGCGGATCGCCAGCCGCTCCAGGGCGCTCAGGCCGCCCGCCGCTGGCTGGGCCTCCACCGCCTGGCGGGCGGCGGCTCTCCTCTCCTGCATCAGCGACGGCCCCGCCAGGCTGGCCGGCCTGCGGGCGGGCGCGGCAGGGCGCCTCATCGCCCGGCCTGGGGCGTGGGCGCGAGGGGAAATGTCCGCCGGCGAACCAGCCAAGGCGGCCTCGAGACAGAGAGTCAGCAACGTTCCACTCCGAGGGGGTCCACCTAACGACGAAACGAGTGCCAGTGCACAAGCTCAGACAACTGAGTTTGCGCAGCGCCCGTCTGAGGTGCACGGCGTTGGCCCTGCCCTTGTCCATGGCCAGAGCTAGGGGTAGATTATCCACGAACAGCAGACAACGGGTGCCGACATTGTCACGGTTGCGAACCAGATGCTTAGCCGCCAAGAGCAGAGCGCCCCCCTCCAAGCAGAGAATGTTGGCCCTCCCAGACACATACATAGCCAGGACTGCGGACCACGACTCTTCACAGAACAACTCCTGGGGGACCTCGTTGAAAGCCCTGGCCCGCTGGATGTACCCGGAGCCGTCCTCGCCGAGCTCGCCGAGGCCCTCGTCCAAGTGGTTGGCCTCTGGAACCTTCTCGAGCCCCGGGCGCTTGGAGAGGGCAGACTCCCTGGCACGCGTGTGGCCCTCAACCTTGAACCTCCACTTCTCAGAGCACCGCCCGACCGTTGCGACGAGGCTGGGATCCAGCCACCGAGACGAGACGCCCACCCCGAAGTCGGAGGCGTCGGAGGCCAGGGCCTGCGGGCTCCAGGAGGCAGAGAGGTTCACCGCCAACAGAGGAAGGACCCCGCGGATCCAGGTAAGCTCCCTGGCGACGCCGGGCCGCATACGCATGATCTGCGCCCCCGCAACCTTCTGGAAAACATAAACCTCAGAGAAGAAGGCCAGACGCTCCCGTCGGATCAGGCCCGCCCACGTGAGATGGCCCAGGAGGATCTCCATGAACTGCCCACTGAGAGAGCGACGCTGGAGGACCGCATCCAAAGCATGCCGAAGACGCCAAGTAGACCGACGCCGAATAGATAGCCTACGACCGTGGGCCAGCTCGACCCCGAGGAACTCGGCATCCTGGCACGCGCTCGCCAAGGTACCCTGCAGCAATGTCCGCCGAAGGGAAGACATCCTGGAGGTCCTCAGGCAGCCCAATCTTGTAGAAACAAGTGTTGCTATCGGCTCCAGAGACATGCGTTCCATCTTCACCAGGTTCAGCAGAGCTGAGAGCAGATGAAGTGGGGAGTCTCGTCGAAAGCCCCCCCCCAAAAAATGCAAAACAACAGTTCACCTGTCTGGTATCAAATGTCAACCTAAGATGCCCAGATTTTTTGGCGACGAAGATTCCCACCCGGGTCGGGGCTGCCCGAGTCCGGCGAACAGAGACTATGTTCCTATCTGCGAGGTTCTTTAAAACATCCGCGTAACAGTAGGGTCGGCCCACAAGAGCCCGATCATTAAAGGGTCCCCGGGGGCGAACTTCAGCTACCAAGCAACGCGCCTCGCTTGCAGGTCTAAGCAAATTGCTGCAAGAGGGGCCCAGACATTTCTTGTCGCCCTCCGCGAGCAAGTCCAAAAGAGGGACGGGCCTGCTCGCGCCGACGGGCAAGGAAACGTTTCCTCTGGCGCAGGGCCGGGTGCTGGAGGACCCCGAGTGATGCGGGCCGCCAGCGGCGCAGAGCTCGGCAAGGGCCCCCGCGCCTCCGGGTGAGTCCTCAGGGGGGCGCCCCACTTGCAAGAACTCCGACTCGATGTGGTCCAGCGCGGCGCGCTGGGAGGCACTCGTGGGCCGCAGCGGCTGCTCGCGCTTCGCGTGCCCGTAGGCCGAGTTCAGCGAATCGATGCAGGCGTTGGCCTAGTCGACGGTCTTGGAGGCTCTGGCGCGGCGCCGGGTGACCGAGCGGCAGCAGACCTCCGTGGCAACCGGGGCACCCTCTCGGCGCCCCAGCGGCGGCAACGGGAAGATGTCGCGCTGCCGATCCGCGGCAGCCCCAGCAGCCCCAGGCTGGCGTGCATCGCTATGAAAAGCAGCGTCGGGTCGGCGAAGCCCGGGCGGGGGCCTGAAATCGCTGGCGGGGGAGGCCCAATCCTCACCGCCAGCTGCCTTGTCAACCATCGTCAGCGCCGCCCTGACCTCCCCGCGCCTTGGCCTTGGCCTTCGCGGTGGCAGCAGCGGCGCGCTCCTCGCGGGCCTTCCTCCTCTCCTTCAAAATCGCGTGCTCCCTGGCTCACCAAGTCCTGGAGCGCCGGACACACGCAGCAGCTGCCGCGTGCCAGCTCGGTCCCCATGTAGAGGTAGGTGTCCACGCGCGAGGGGCCCGACGATCCAGCCAGGCAATCGCGATACTTCTCCTCGAGGATCTGCAACGCTCTGCCGAGGAGCTCAAATCTAGCCATCTCCGTCACGTTGATCTGACCAAAACAAACCGCGTTCTCCAGGGCTGTGCAGATCCTCAGGTGCTCGTCAACGCCGCCCTCGTTGGACAGGCGGCAGTCGGTCTTCCAGCGATGATGGCGGGCGACAGGGCTCCCCCCGTTCGCGGACATGAACTGGCAGACCCACTTGAGGGTGCGGGGTCCCCCCGCAGGCCAGTCTACTACCCACGGCGTCTCCGTGAGCAGCGACTGGGCCTCTGTGAACGGGCGGCTCCTCCTGTTGAGCGTGTCCATCAGCAACGGGTGCACCCTCAGGTCCGTGAGCGCCTGGGCCTGAGCCTGCCCCCACGGGGCCACGCCCCCCGCGCCATGGGCGACTGGGGCGGCCCCCCCTGGGGCGATGGCCGGCGGCGCGGCCACCAGCGCGCCCGGCGCGGGCGCCACGGCGGCCGCTGGCCCAGCGGCAGGCATCCCCACGAGGGCGCCTCCCGCACCAGCAGCCAGCGCCACGGTGCCTGCGCCTGGGCCCAGCACGGCGGCGAGGGCGGCCAGGCGGCCTCCCACACCCGCGGCCGCAGGGGCCCCGGCCGCTGGCGCCACGTCACCACAGCAGCGGGGACGGGAGCTGGCAGGACGAGGGCCCCGCGGCCGGTGGGCGGGTCGTCCGCGCGGCCTCCCACGTTGGGCGCGAGGGGCAGCCCTGGGGCGGCGTGGCCAGCCCTGACCGCGGCCGCGTCCCTCGCCGCTCCCAGCGTCGCCGCCAGCGGCACCCCGCGGAAACCGTACACGCGGGCGCCACCGCCGCCCACCACGGCCGGCGGCGGACCGCCCTGGGCGCCCCCCCGGGAGGAAGCACCACTCCACGACGTCGCCGCCCGGGGCGTGGTCCTCCTCGTAGTGGTCGTCGTCCTCGTCCGGCGTGTAGCTGGCGCTCACCCCGCCAGCCTGATCCAGCGGCAGGTACACACAGCAGCGCTCGTGGAACAGCGGCGGCCCTGGCACCCCGTAGCGCACGAGGTAGCACGCCGGCCGCGAACGGCCCTCAGCTGCGCCAGCGCCTCCGCCTGCAGGTCTCCGGAGCCGATGGCCTTCGCGGCCGACGCGGGCCCGGTCTCGGACTGAGGGCCCACGGCACTAGCCCGAGCCGCGCACCACCGTCGCCAGGCGTTGGGCGCCTGGCCCAGCAGCAGGCCGAGGACGACCAGCAGGGGCCCCGCCACCGGGCCGATCGAGATGCTGTCCCCGCAGTGCACCGTCGGGCAGGGCGGGCAAGACACCTGGCAGGTGCACGGAGGGCAATCACAGAAGCAGCCTGGGCACTCCTGCCCCGCCACGCGTACAGCGACGCCTATGCCGAGCCCGCGGATGATCTCTTAGCCTGCCTGGAGGAGGAACGGTTCCATAAAGGCGTGGCTTTCGCTTGAGCCGAGCTGTTTCGGTTCGGCGTCCTATCCCCTCCCCTCTCGCGCATACATTGAAGTGTGGGGATTATATATATATATACACATATATATGTATATATGTATATATATATATATATATGTATAAGTGTATGTATGTATGTATGTATGTATGTATGTATGTATGTATGTATGAATGTATGTATGCATGCATGCATGTATGTATGTATGTATGTGTATATATATATATATATATATATATATATATGTATGTGTAGGTATGCGTGTATACATATCTATAATATAGATAGATAGATCGATAGATAGATCGATTCCCTGAAAGGCCCCCCACAGGCCGCCAGAAAACTGCCTACGCGTGCCCATAAAGCTTTCAAGGGGCCTCTGATCTTCGACCCTGGCACGCTGGAGGGAAGGGCCAAAGGCCAGTAGATAGGTGATCACGTCGGGCGTGACTCTCGCATCCTGCATCTGCTCGAAGACCTCCAGCAAGACCAGGCAACATCGAATCGGGACATCGGATCGAATCGGAACGTGCGTCGGATCGGTCTGCATTGGCACGGAGTCCAAATCGAATCCGATCGGACGCGCCAGGGTGCACCACAGCGCCATCCATGCATGCCTCGGGTCCGTATCGGACCATCGGAAAAGCGGCATCGAATCGGGCTGGCCGAAACCGATATCGAATCGAAATGGGCCGTGCCTCCAGCGCCCGCTCTGGCTCTGGCCCTTTGGAGTGAGAGCTGATCACCACGTTGTAGGAGATGACGTCGGGCGCCACGCCCCACCGGCCCATGTTGTTGAAGATCTCTACCGCCTTCCCGGGCTCGCCCCCCTTCTCGCACGCGCTGATCAGCGCGTTCAGTGTGATGATGTTGGGCGCGAGGCCGTTCTTCAGCATCTCGCGGAAGAGCTGCATCGCCCTGGCGGCCTGCCCGCCCTTCTCGCACGCACTGATCAGGGCGCTGTAGGTGATGACGTCGGGCCAGATGCCCCGCGCCCGCATCGTGGAGAACAGCTGCAGCGACTTCTCGTGCTTGCCCCCCTTCTCGCACGCGCTGATCAGCGCGTTGAAGGTGATGATGTTGGGCTCCAGGCCCTCTTCCTGTCGGAGGCCTGGAAGTGGGCACCAACGCCAACACAAGGGGTTGCCTCCATCGGGGAAGGATGGTCCTAGATTCTGCTGGCGGTGCTAAGTCTCTCGGCTACCTAGGAAGCCCAAATCTTACCATTACCAATGCGATCGGGATCACCCTCCCTCGGTGGAGGCAGCCGCCGACATCGGTGTTGTGGTGCCAGCCTCTGGGCCTCCGATCCTGCATGGCGCCGAACAGCTGCAGCGCCCTGTCCGCCTGGCGGCCCTTCTCGCACGCGCTGATCAGGGCGCTGTAGGTGATCACGTCGGGCTTCAGGCCGCGGGTCTTCATCACCTCGAAGAAGTGCAGGGCCTTCGCCGTCTGGCAGCCCTTCGCGCAACAGCTAATCAGCGCGCTGAAGGTGATGACGTCGGGCTTGAGGCCCGCCGTCTGCATCCGCTCGAACACCTCCACGGCCCTGGACGGGCTCGAGCCTTTTGAGATGGCGCTGAGGAGGGAGTTGTAGATGACGACGTCGGGCTGAACCCCCCGCTCCTGCATGTCCTCGAAGAACGACAGAGCTCGTTCTGGCTGGGAGCTCTTCGAGCAGGCGCCGATCAGGGAGTTGTACGTAATGACATCGGGCTGTATCCCCTCCCTCTGCATCTCGGCGAAGACCTCCAGGGCCCGGTCCAGCTGCCGCCCCTTGTCGCACGCGGTGAGCAGGGCGTTGTACGTGATGACGTCGCCCCTGAGTCCATGCCTCCTCTCGGCGGCGAGCCCAATGGGATCGTGACAGGGGGCAGGCCTTCTCAGAAGGCGCCGGGGACTCCCAGGAGCCTCCTGGCTCCTGGCCTTCTGAGAAGGCCTGCCCCCCCTCTCACTTCCCCCCTGGGCTCGCCGCCGCTCCTCATCTCGACCCCGAGCTGGAGCGCCTCGCGCCACTGCTGGCGCCTGCTCGGGGGCGTCCGAAGGTGAGCGTGGAATAGAGTTGCCAAGGACAAAGCGCTGGAATCGCAGAAGGGGTGCCATTTTTCTCTTCACTTATTTACATCAGTCCAGACCGTGATGCTGCATGACGCGATCGACTCGCTACCTTTGAGGGAAAATGGCGTGGTACGTAGTGACTTGGGGTGTTCTCTATGCTGACGACACACAACTCGTATCCCAACACCAATCTACAGACTATGTTGAACGCCGTGGTGGAGGAAGGATGCAAACATGGCGCGGAACTCACAGTGGGAAAGACTTTGCACATGCACGTCCGCCGATCCTGTCGGCGTGTGTGGGGTGTCTATCTGGTCCCGTCGAGGGGGAGCCTTCTTTCGTCCTCTCCTTCCCATCCTCCTCTCCCGTCGGGGGGGAAAGAGAGAGCACCCTTCCTCGCTCGGGGAACGGGCTCACAGCTTGAGGGAATTCCATCCACGTCCTCATAACGTCAAAGGGAAGCCCCTTCCCTTTGTCCCTTCCCCAGCGGGGGGGGGTGGTCCCTGGGGGGGGGGCGGTCAGATTCGCATCGCCTGTCGGGGTCGTCCTCTCCCACGCCGGTCCTTCTCCAGCGCGCCAGTCCTCCTCGGGTCCTCCTCCCCAGGTGGGGAGGAGTCCCAGGGGGGGGGGGGGTCAGATACGCATCCGTCCCTGGGGGTCCTCCTCTCCTTCCCCTTCCCTCTCCCACGCCGGTCCTCCTCCAGTCCTCCTCCCCAGGGGGGGGGGTCCCAGGGGGGAGTCCTTTTCCTCCCTTCTCCTCCTCCTTTTCCTCCTCCTCCCCCTCCTGGTCGTCGTCGATGTCTTTCAAGGTCGACGGCGAATGGTGTAGATCTTTGGCAGTCTGGGAAGCTGTGTTTGGGAGGATGAACTACATGCAATGGGAAGGCGTCCCGCCGAGCTATGCAGACGACTTGGGGAAGCAAGCAACACCTTAAAGCAACTCAACCAACTTGTTGCCTCTCTTGGATGGAGACGAACATATGACATCTGCGACAACGATGTTTTGAGCACTGCTTTACATTACCTTGGTGATATCTGGTTGTTGATCGCGGACAGATGCTGGCTCGACGCTTTTCCTTGCCGATGTTTGCGACGTGTTCTGGCAATCCCACATTCATTCATTCCTCGGGTCAGTAACGCAAACTTCCTGGCCAAGGCTGGGGCGAACCCACTTTCTGAACTCTTGTCTGGTAGACAAATCAAGCTGTACAAGAAAATTGTTGCACATGGACCTGCGTCTTTGGCAAAGCGAACCGTATGCAATGATGATGGGTCGCCGAAACATTCGACTAGCAAACGTCGACGCGGACGACCGAGACAACAGTGGGGATTTCCAGTTTACAAGCTGTCGCAAAACGCCTGAGCATATGTGCAACTCATGCTATTTCCTCTCCTCCTCCCTCTTCCTATTCCTGCACTGACGTTTCCGTGTCCTGCCTCATCGTCAACTTGCCACATGCGCATCCTTGGCTGCCCACGCGCCCATCTGGATGCTTGTCTTTGCTGTTGTTGAGGCGCGTGCGCGGGCGAAGAAGGGGGCCCAAGGGAGAAAGGCAACGGCCGTGCTCAGAGAAGGAAAAAGGGCCATGAAATCTGGGATATCTTATGGCCCCTTTCAAAAAAAAAGAACTCTACCACCCTCTCCCCGCCCGGACTTATCGGTACACCGTGGGGCACTGCAAATTAAATATGGTACTGCCTCGTCGTTCATTTCCCATCTGAGTTTACACCATCCCAAGCAGGCCTGGTATCGTTTAGCCCCAGCCCCTCGCCCCTGTCAAAGGGTACTATGCGCGCGCACTCGTTCACCGAAAACTTTATTGTTCAACATTCCCTGGCGCAGTATGACGAAACGTCCACATGCGCGCCCAGGTCGAAACCCTTGTAAGCACCAGTTTTCCAAATAGTTCGACATAGCAACATCAAGCATCAAGCAACCCTTCAATTCGTCATTGCACATCTTGCACACTCTTCTGCCTGCGCACATCAACTGGAACCATAAGGAAGTCATTACCTAACAGCGAAGACTGATAGGTTTCTAGTGGTGTCAAAAGAGAGCATCTGATGACTCAGAAGGGAGGTCTGGGCGGCATCCGGACAGCGAGGGCCGGGCTCAGGGCCGGGCTCGTTTTAAGCAAACAGTCACACACTTCGTGCTCTTCGACCTCCCAGAACTCCATTCCCGGGCCACATTTTGAATGCCCGGAGCCAACTGTAGGCCACTTCGTGCTCTTCGTGTTCCCAGAACTCCATTCCCGGGCCACATTTTGAATGCCCGGAGCCAACTGTAGGCCACTTCGTGCTCTTCGAGTTCCCAGAACTCCATTCCCGCGCCACATTTTGAATGCCCGGAGCCAACTGTAGGCCACTTCGTGCTCTTCGACTTCCCAGATCTCCATTCCCGGGCGACAATTTGGATGCCCGGAGCCAACTGTAGGCCACTTCGTGTTCTTCGAGTTCCCAGAACTCCATTCCCGAACCACATTTTGAATGCTGAGGCAGGCTGATGCTGAGGCTGAGGCAGGCTGAGGCTAAGGCAGGCTGAGGCTGAGGCCGAGGCTGAAGGCAGACTGAGGCTGAGGCTGAAGCAGGCTGAGGCTGAGGCTGAGGCAGGCTGAGGCTGAGGCTGAGGCAGGCTGATGCTGAGGCAGGCTGAGGCTGAGGCCGATGCAGGCTGAGGCTGAGGCAGCTGAGGCTGAGGCCGAGGCTGAAGGCAGACTGAGGCTGAGGCTGAAGCAGGCTGAGGCTGAGGCTGAGGCTGAGGCTGAGGCTGATGCTGAGGCAGGCTGAGGCTGAGGCTGAGGCTGATGCAGGCTGAGGCTGAGGCAGGCTGAGGCTGAGGCCGAGGCTGAAGGCAGACTGAGGCTGAGGCTGAAGCAGGCTGAGGCTGAGGCTGAGGCAGGCTGAGGCTGAGGCTGAGGCTGAGGCAGGCAGGCTGAGGCTGAGGCTGAGGAGGCTGAGGCTGAGGAGGCTGAGGCTGAGGCTGAGGCTGAGGCTGAGGCAGGCTGAGGCAGGCTGAGGCTGAGGCTGAGGCTGATGAGGCTGAGGCTGAGGCTGAGGCTGCTGAGCTGAGGCTGAGGCTGAAGGCAGGCTGAGGCTGAGGCTGAGGCTGAGGCTGAGGCTGAGGCTGAGGCTGAGGCTGAGGCTGAGGCTGAGGCTGAGGCTGAGGCTGAGGCTGAGGCTGAGGCTGAGGCTGAGGCTGAGGCTGAGGCTGAGGCTGAGGCTGAGGCTGAAGCAGGCTGAGGCTGAGGCTGAGGCAGGCTGAGGCTGAGGCTGAGGCTGATGGAGGCAGGCTGAGGCTGAGGCTGAGGCTGAGCAGGCTGAGGCTGAGGCTGAGGCTGAGGCCGAGGCTGAAGGCAGACTGAGGCTGAGGCTGAAGCAGGCTGAGGCTGAGGCTGAGGCAGGCTGAGGCTGAGGCAGGCTGATGCTGAGGCAGGCTGAGGCTGAGGCTGAGGCTGATGCAGGCTGAGGCTGAGGCAGGCTGAGGCTGAGGCCGAGGCTGAAGGCAGACTGAGGCTGAGGCTGAGGCTGAGCAGGCTGAGGCAGGCTGAGGCAGAGGCAGGCTGAGGCTGAGGCTGAGGCTGAGGCTGAGCAGGCTGAGGCTGAGGCTGAGGCCGAGGCTGAGGCTGAGGCTGAAGCAGGCTGAGGCTGAGGCTGAGGCAGGCTGAGGCTGAGGCTGAGGCAGGCTGATGCTGAGGCAGGCTGAGGCTGAGGCTGAGGCTGATGCAGGCTGAGGCTGAGGCAGGCTGAGGCTGAGGCTGAGGCGAGGCTGAAGGCAGACTGAGGCTGAGGCTGAAGCAGGCTGAGGCTGAGGCTGAGGCAGGCTGAGGCTGAGGCAGGCTGAGGCTGAGGCTGAGGCAGGCTGAGGCTGAGGCTGTGACTGCGACTGCCGTTGCCACTGCGACTGCCATCGCGAATGCGACTACGACTGCGAGAACAGCAGAATTCTACAACAGGATTCTCATCTGAATCTTAAGGGGAATACTTCCAAATGTGCTCCTACACATCGCTGTTAGGTTGCTTTGCCGGGATAATATTGTTTTAGCGAAGTTGCCCAGCAGCTGCATTCTCATGTCACCGCGCGGTGCGTCCGCGTTGATCCAGCATGCGCGCAGTGCATGCAACGGTACTACACAACACCATGCGGGCCACACACGCGCGACTCCACGCGAGCGTGTCGAAATCCGTCCAGCTCAAAGCAGACTAAAAGAGAGCTCTTCGAACCCATCTAACAAACATATACTTCCCAGCATCATGTGCCATGGTTATTTGGTTTCCACGCGCGCGCACTTCCTCACCATCACCCACATCAACACCGCCGCATCACATCGTCGCCATGGACAATCGCCGCGCTTGCCGCCATCACCACTCAACCACCTTAACCATCGGCATGTCCACATCAACATCGTCGTCGGCGTTGCTAGCGTCGGCGCCGTCATTGGCTTTGCCGTCGTCATCGCCGACACCAGTATCGTTACTGTCATCATCGTTGCCGTTGTTGTCGAGGTCATCATGATACCACGCTCGCCCAAGCCACCGACCCGCATTGAAACGCTCGCGAGCCAGCGCAGCCTTTGACGCGCGCTGCGACATTGCCATTGGTATGCGCCATCGCGGCCGCATGGATTGTGTCAAACCAGCTGGACGCTTTGCGCGCGAGCTTGCGCGCGCCAGCGCGGCTGAAGAGAGTTGCACCAGCCATGGCCAAGCAGTCATCGCAGTCGCCGCCGCATAGGTTTTGCAAAGCAATGTGCGGGTGGGAGGGTGGGATGATTGCGCGAGGAGTGGAGTTGACAGCTCATGAGTTGGCAAAATACTAACACGCCCCTAGTCTTCACCCCCTGGACGCCTGGTCGTTTTCTGGTCACGGCTCGGGCCTCTGGCGGCCGTTCGGGGCAATCTGGGCAGCCCCTGAAAGCAGTAACTGCCGGTGAGCATCCCGAGGCGCAAAAAAAACCTCCGAGGAGCCACGAACACTCCCCCCCCCGCTTCCGCCTTCCACGACGAGAACGTCCTTACCCCCCTCCTGGAACCCCTCTTGGGCGGCCCCGACCTGTTTAGGGCGCTGATCCGCTGGTTGTACTGGCGGATGGCCGGGTCGCTCACGATGCCCGAGGACGACGGGCCGCGCCCGCGGGCAACCCCTCCCGGGCAACCCCGTGAGGAGACAGCCGCGCCGGCCGCTGGGCCCCTCGTGCGAGGCGGTAATGTATATATATATATACACATGAACATACACATGCACACATATGAAAATACACACATGCATCTACATATACATGTACACATACACAGACACACACGCATATACATATACATATATACATACACACATATACGCACACGTATTATGCACCTACGTCTACGTATACGTATATGTATACGCATATGTACATATGTATATGTATATGCATGCATGCATATATACATGCATGTATATGTACTGTGTATGTATGTGTATATGTATACGTTTGTATATATATATATGTATCCAAACATGCTCGCGACGCGGGAAACAAACGGGACGGACTTGTTTAGCCGTTCTCGGTCTTCGGAACCCTGAGACCGTCAAAGAACGACTCAAGATGGAAACCTGGCCCCCGGGAAAGGGTTGGGACTTCCGGGGACCTCGTATGCTCTATCCTGGCGCAGGACCCAGCCTAATTGTGAGTGACGCAATTGTGAGTATCGTCTACGCTGGAGCTCCCTGATTATGGGGCCACGAAACGTGTGAGGGGTGTGCCGTTATGGGCGGGGGGGACGCATGTGAGCACTGCTGCCGGGGCCTTCGGTGGAGCTCCCTATGGGGCCACGAAGCGTGTGATGGGTGTGCCGAATCAGGTGCGGGGGCGCCATGTTGGCTGTGCCGCTGGGTCCTTCGGTAGAGCTCCCTACGTGGGCCACGGAACGAGCGAGGGGTGTGTCGAGTCGGGTGCGGGTACGCAATGCGGACAGTGCCGCTAGGGCTTCGGTGGAGCTCCCTAAGGGGCCATGGAACGAGTGCGGTGTGTGCAGAGTCGGGTGCGGGTACGCCATGCGGACTGTGCCGCTGGGTCCGTCGGTGGAGCTCCCTATGGGGCCACGAAGCGTGCGAAGGCTACACACAAGAAGATGCCGAGAACGATGATGGTGATGACGATGAGGATGACGATGATGACGATGGCGATTACTATGACGATGGTGACGGTGACGGTGACGGTGATGGTGATGGTGATGATGATGATGATGATGATGATGATGATGATGATGATGATAATAATGATGATTATCATGATGATGCTGCTGCTGATGATGATGCTGCTACTGAGGATGAGGATAAAAGGATGGTCATCGTAATGATGAAGAGAGGAGGACCAGGAGGATGAGGATGTTGATGATGATGCTGAGGATGAGGATGATGAGGAGGGCGATCATGAAGATGATGTTAATGATAATGATAATGATAATGGTACTGATGATGATGATGCTGCTGATGATGATGATGATGACTATTAGGACCTGCGGATGGCACAGGCAAGGATGTGATCAGTGAGGAGGGCAGCGGGAGGGAAGGAAGGAGACGCGGGGTGCTGGCTCTTCAAAACGATGACCCAACACCACAGGATGGTTTGGGACACGCATCAAAAAGTCGCACGCCTGGATGCACATCCACCGCCTGGGGAACCGAAGTCCTTGGACCCAAGTTGGCGGTGGATACGGGTAATCAGCCGCGTGTGAACCCCACCCCTGGGGGTCAGATTCCTGAAAATCCAGCCGGGGCTCAGACTCCTAAGGACGTCTGTGGACGAGTGAAAGCCCCAGTGGGGTGTCCGATGTCCCAGCATCGATTGGACCCGCAGGGGTAGGGCTCGAAATCGGCCGCAGATGCGGGCGTATCTAGGCCCCCAGGGGAGTCCCCAGCTTGGAGGCGGCCAGGGGGTCTGAACTGGTTGAGACCCCAGAAAGTCGGCCAGGAGGGGGGATGAAGCCAAATCCGTTCAACATCGATCCCTGGACCCCTCCCGGGGTCCACCTGGTGCAACTTTCCACTCCGGACCCGCTTTTGACGGTCTCGGGGCCGGAGAACAGCCCTCGCCATCGCTCGGACGTCCCTTCCCTGTGCATTTTTCGGTTTCGTGCGTGTTTTGTTGGCCCGATGGTCGAGGAGGATGCTTCTCGATGGCCCCAGCCGAGAAAAAATGCACACGTCCGAGCGGCGCCAAGAGCCCCAGGAGGCCTAAAAAGGCAAAGCACCTTCCCGAACCCAACGCCCCCAACCTCCTCGCCCCCTCCATGCTGGCCGGAACCACGGCTGAGCCGCCGCAGACCCCAGCCAGCTCCAGTCCCCAACGTGGCCAGTCGGACTTGGTTGGACAGGACACGCGAGAGGACACAAGACCCTTCCGAGGGCCACGTTGCCACAGGAGTGTAAGAGGCATGAGTCGCGAGACCCAGGACCCGAGAGCACCCTTGATTTGGCAGGGTCGACCTGCCAATCCGGTCCGACTGTATCCACCGCCTCCAGAGGCTCCGGAGGCTCTCGGCTCCCCGTGCGGCGGGCGCGGGCCGTTCTCGGCCTCGGACCTCGCCGCGCACGCCCCGGCGCCGTCCCTGGAGCCGGCCACCGCCTGGACGGCCCTCCGCGTGAGCTCCTGAGGGGGCGCGCTTCAGCGCTTCGAGTCGTCGGGGCTGGGGGTGGTCAGGGGCAACTCCCGATTCGTGCCTCGGGGGCCCAAGCCAGAGTGGTCCCGGACTGGGGTTGTCCCGGATAGAACTCGGGCGTCCAACCACCCGGGAAGCATGGGGGCTGGGGGTGGTCAGGGTAGCTTCTGGTTCGCGCGTCGGGGGCCTGGGCCAGAGTTACCCTTGGTGGCGGAGAGAAGACTCGGAGTGAGAGGAGGCGGAGGCTGTGGAAGAGGAAAAGGAGGAGGCGGAGGAGGAGGAGGAGGAGGAGGCGGAGGAGGCGGAAGGGGCGGAGGAGGCGGGAGGCGGAGGGAGGCGGAGGAGGCCTAGATTATACTGGCCGAGCGCTGCCCCTGACTCCTCCACCTGCGCGCGCGGGCCCGCGCCCGGCGGCGCTTTTGCCTTCGGCGGCCGCGCCGCGCCCTTCGGCCGGGCCGAGGGGCTTCCGTGGGCCCACGCGGCGAGGAAGTCCGCCGCCGTGCCTGCACGATGTGGGCGTGCATTTGGACGCCCGAAATGGGTACGGAACAAAAATGGGTGCAATGCCCAACAACAAAATGTCGTCCCAAACCGGCAGCGGCCGCTGTTGGGCAGGCGGCCTTCTATCTCAAATGGACACAGGCCGCGGCTGCGCGGACAGCGAGTCCTGTTCAAGATGAACAGGAACTGCTGTTGGGCATTGTACCCATTCTTTCCGTACCCTTTTCAAGCGTCCAGAAACTAAGCGGGGGCACCGTCGCAGCGAATCGTGCCACGCTGCACGGAACATGGGACAAGAGAGAGGGGGCGGCTGAAGGAGGGGGAGGAGGAGCGAGGACCGCTCAGGGGGACGGGTCACACCCGGAGCGTGTGGCGCGGCCGGCCCCGCCGGCAGGGTCTGCGGCAGCTGCTGCGCCGGGGGCCCGCGGCGGCGGGGCGCGCCTTTCGACCACACGTGATCGGGGAACTGCGAGACTCGAACACGCCGGAACTCGGTCTCGCCTATGCTTTTTGACGAGACCCCGCCCTGGATTCTGACGGTCCAGATTTCGTGGGATGTCTGCAGGGGGAGGCTCGCGTCAAATTTCAGAGTGGGTCTCATCATTTTCTTGACGGTCCCGTGAGGTGAGGCCAACCCGAGTCTTACGTCTCTCCAACTTTCGTGCGAATTTCGGGGGCCACGGAGAGGCGCGCAAGCCGCTGCTATCGCATCGCATTTAGCCATCTGGGGGCCCTGGTGCGCCCGCACCCAAAATCACTCCGGCGAAGGGCCCACCCACGAAAGCCGAGTCGTTACGAGGCAACTCTTGGGAGGTCTTCGCGGGAACGAGTACGGTCGGGAACTTTTGCTTAACGTGTCGCGGCGGCGGCCCTGGCGACACGCTATGCCTTGCAAGTGGATCGCATATCGCTCCGCTCCGCGGGGCGGGAGGTCGGGAAAGGCTTGGAACATTGACGGTCGGTGACCGGGAAATGGATGGCGTGTCGTGCCGAAGCGTGGTGTGCCAGAAACGGCGGAGCGACACGCTATGCCAAAATTCCTGACCGTAAGGGCTATTGAGTCCCATTGAGGGCCATTGAGCCGGAGCAGCATGGATTAGCCTGGGATTGCGAGGGACTAAGCCGGACAAGGATGGTTTTCGACCACGGAAACGCCAGCGCCGATGCTGAACTTCACCTCCCAAGAGGTGCGTCCTGAACGCCAAGTCCTGTCTGGCAGGGCATCTCTGACCTTCCGAGTTCTAAAGGCCCCCCTGCGCCCTCGCACCCCCTCCTCGGACCCACCCGACGGCGGCGGGACCTGCCGGAGGCAGCCGAATACACGCCGACCCCGGCGAAGGCGCAGAGGACGTACCACAGCTCTCCGGGCAGGAGCGCGCAGTAGAGCGCGGCCCCGAGGAGCGCCCCGCCCTGCGGCGTGAATCCTCGGTCCCAGACCAGCTTCTGGTCGATGGCGCCCCCGAGCAGTGCCTGGAGAGTCGTCATTGTGATGTTCCTTTCGCCAGGCCGGCAGCGAGAGTAAGTGGATGCTGGCGTTCACCAGCTGGGTCAATATCGAATGGCGCAAGGCGTCGAGTAGAAGTTGTCGCAATGACTCAACTGAGCAAGTTAGAACGTGCAGCGGCGCCGTCTCCTGGTGGCTCGGAGCGGTGCGCGCTTGAGCCCAAAGAAGGAGGATCAGGGCAGACCCAGGGTGCATCAACAATGCTGTCATCCCCCCCCCCCCCCCGCCCCCGCCACAAGCCCTCTCCTAGCACTCCCTGCGTGCTGTCCTCTGCACGACCGGGGGCGCACCCTGGAAAGACCAGTGCCCCCTGGGCCCTGCCAGTCAAGCTAGGCCATGGTTTGAAAAGGAGCCACCCACTATCTTCTTTTTCAGCTGTCCCACACTTGTCGAGATGTAGGATCAGAAAATTGCATGATGTCGAACAGCGCCCGCCGCCGCTGCGTGTATATGATGCGCACGTGACTGAGGTGTTGTCGAAATTTTGTCTGAGGACGTCTCGAACGAGAGCCACATGTTAAAACGGAGACGCCCTCATCCCTGCAACTGCTGCAGAAACTCCACAGCTTCACGGGCTCTCTTAGGAAATCTTGTGCATTCTTGGATGCGTCAGGAAACCTCTCTGGACGCTGAGCCAGCCCCAAACTACCCGCACAACCCCCGAGAAGGCCCCTGGAGGTCCCCCAAACGGTCCATGGGTGCCAAACGACGGCCCAAGAGCGCCCAAGATTCTTAGATAGCCTCAAGACGGCTCAGGAGATCACCAAGATGCCCATAGAGGGCCCAAGCGGCCTCCAAGCCGGCCACAGAGGCCTCCAACAGGACCTCCAGGAAGGCCCGAGGAGGTCACAATCATGTAGTTTCTTGTTCTTGACATATTCCGACGGCCCAAGGCGGCCCCAGAGGCCACCAAGATGGCCCCATGAGCGCCCAAGAGGCCTCCGAGGTGCCCCCCCCCCTGACGGCCCAATCCAAGACGGCCCGAAGAGGGCACCCGAGACGGCCCCAAGAGGGCCCCGAGACGGCCCAGGAGACCTCCAGAACTCCCAAGAGGGCCTCCAAGACAGTCGTGAAGCGTACGAAGAGGGCCCCAAGTCGGCCCAGAGAGGCCCACAAGATACCTTCCGACGAGCCAGGCACGCCCTCAGACGGCGCAAGGGCCTCCCCAGGAGCTTCCAGCGGCACCCAAGAGGCCCCAGGAAGCCCCCAAGAGGCCTCCAAAAGGCCCCCAGGAAGTTCCCAGGAGGCCACAAGAGTGCCCTGCGAGGCCGCCAAGACGCCTCCTCCTGCTCCTCCTGTTTCCTCCCTCGCCTCCTGCCCTTCTTTCTCCCCCACGTGTTCTCCGAAGGATGTCCACAACAGCTGGGGGAACACGTAGTCCGACAGCTTGGCCGAGATATTGCAACGTTGGGCCACATAGGCTCTTCCAAAATGCAGGGGGCGGCGGTGAGTCGCCGTAGGCACACCTCATGTCTTTAAGCCTGACCCAATTTCCTTAACACATCCACTGAAACATCAAATTCGTCACCCATCCGTGTAACTGCTGGGAACTTGGAAGGCGAATGTGAACGATGCGAGAACAAGCAGATTAGGAAAACGACCTCACACTTATCTGCGTACCTACTGAAACTAAAGAATGCTCGCGGCGCCAGGGCGAGGCCCAAATTTTGATAACGGCCCGCCCTCCATCCGCGTGGCTGCTTGGATGCGCACGGTGCTGGGGCAGGAGCCACATCTCGAGGACGACTGGCCCGGCTTTGTGAAGCTGTAGGAGAAATTGGAACTTCGATGTGACACGTCGCAAGGACGTCTCGAGCGAAACGGCCGGCCAGCCCTACCCACGTGTATGGCAGAACGACAAAGCTGGGAAACCACGAAGGGCCGAACGTAGCAGAAAAGCGGGGTGTCCACCGGACTAAGCAGGCGAAAACAACAAACACATACGAACAGAGCGCAGTGCCGCCAAGACTGCAGTACGGAGATTGTTTGGAGAGATGACTCGGCGACAGGCGGAGCGTGTGATAGGCATGAAGTGCGATGGTTACCTCTTCGACAACGTTGACCGTCGGAGCCAGGACAGCTCATCGCGTGAGAAGAAAACTATTCACGAGGAGAGGAATCGCGGATGAGGGGGAGTAGGAGGAAGAGGGGGCTGGCGGCAACGAAGGATGATGAGGGCGAGGATGAAGGTGAAAAGGGAAGAGGGGGGAAGAGGAACAGAGGGGGAGGAGCAAGGAGGGGGTAGAACCACGGAGAAGGGAACAGCGGACAGGAGAGCCTTGAATAGGGGAAGGAGGGAGGGCAGGAACGTGGGCGAGGAGGAGAGGGGGCGGAGGAGGGGGAACACGAAGCACGGAGCAGGGGCAAGGACGGATCGAAGAGAGAGAGCGCTCAGGAGGCTGGCGGCAAAGAGGAAGGGACCCCTCGGGCCTCGCAACAAAGCTTCGTGAGGCCGCAGTCCGCGCCGGCCCAGGAGCAGCCCAGCTCGCGCCCGTAGTGCCTGGCCGCCGCCGTCGCGGCGGTGCGGCGGCGGCGGCGGCGGCGGCGGCGGCGACGACGACGACGACGACGACGACGACGACGACGACGACGACGACGACGACGACGACGACGACGACATCGACGACGACGCCGGCGGCCGCTGGGGCGGGGGCGGCGGCGGCGAGAACGGCGGGATCGGTGTGGTGCAATAGACACATACGATAACACATCTTGCCATGATTAGAAGAACAAATAACCACATGAACATAAACTTTTGGCGCTCCGCGCGGATTTCTTGGATTCGCGCTGGACCCCCCTCCCTGGCGCGCGGAGCGCGCCAGGGGCGGCGCCCGAGGCGCCGCCAGGGGGGCCCAGCGCTGATCCAAGAAATCAGCGCGGAGCGCCACAAGTCCATTTTTATGTGGTTTTTCCTTCTTCGAATGAGGAGTCTTGGGGCACACTTATCGTCGATCTTCGAGGGTCCTCTGATGTGCCCCAGGGCTTCTGCGGGTCCCTGCCACCGGGGGACGAGACATTTCCCCGGGGCACCTGTTGGCAGGCCGCTTTCTTATCTCGCGTGTGCCTACTGAAGGAAGGGGAGGGGGGAAGAGGAGGGGGAAGAGGAAGGAGGGGGAAGAGGAGGGGGAATAGGAGGGGGGAAGAGGAGGGGGAAGAGGAGGGGGAAGAAGAGGGGGAAGAGGAGGGAGGGGGGAAGAGGAGGGGGAAGAGGAGGGGGAAGAAGAGGGGGAAGAGGAGGGAGGGAGGAAGAGGAGGGGAGAGGAGGGGAAGAGGAGGGGGGAAGCGGAGGGGGAAGGAAGAGAAGGGGACTGAGGCTCCAGTGTCTCATGGGGGCACAACTGCACCCGCGGCTCATTTGCACCCTGAACATGGGGAGAACGGTTACGGAATCACGGGCATGAGCCAGTGTCGGTCACAAGATAGAGCGAAACAATTTCAACAACTCGTCGTTGCCCGCTGGCCGTCTCGGCGCTGCACACCTCGGACTTAGCCTGCGGGCCACCCGGCCGATGTGATCCGTAAGATCTTCTGCGCCTGATCTGGTACGTTCGTGTCCAAGCTTTGGTGGCTGCTGAACAGCAGAAAACCCACAAGAGGAACAAAACCAACGCCACAGCCCAGAAAGGGGGAGAGGGGAAGGGGGAAGAGGAGGGGACTGGACTGGACTGTGACTAGCGATTGCATCTCATACTGGCATAAGTACACGATTCGCACCGCATCGACACCGTGAAACTTGAGTTTCGGACTCCGCATGTGATGTGGGAGTGGGCTGGAGAGGCTCACGGAGGGTGTGAAGCCAACGGCGCCGTCTATGGACGACACAGTTTTCTTATGCAGTGCATGTTGTCGGCGTTGCATATGATGCTTTCGCGCAGCAGCTTGGCTGGCCGGATTTGAACTTCAGAATCCAAGTGTGGGACCGAAATGAGTTCGAAAAGGATCAAGGAAGGTGTGAAGCCCACGGCTCCCGCGCAACGACCAGGGAACAACTGTTCGGACAATTCACGTGCTGTGCGCATTTTTGGCGCTGCAGCTTGGGTGTCCGAGCTCGACCTTCGGATTCCGCGTGGGGCGCGCGAGCGGCTTGAATATATCCAAGTATGTGTGACACCCACGGTGCCCTCTCTGTGCGCAGAGTCAGTTATTGTCTGCGTTGACTTTTTCTTTTCGGCTGCAACTTGGTTGTCCGAGCTTGGGCTTCGGATTCCGCTTGCTGAATGAGCAGGGCTAGGAGACGTACAGGGTGGGTGTGGAGCCAACGGCGCCGTTTTCGACGACGGGAGCGCCACTTTCTTCTACAATGCAACTTGTTGTGCTGTGTTTCTTGTTTGGGCAACAGCCTGGTTGCCCGAACTTGAACTTAAACATCCGTGTGTGAGACAGCAGTGGTCTGGATATGGGTGTGTGAAGCCCACGGCTCCGTCGCAACGACCAGGAAGCAGCTGTCTGGACACATCAGCGTGGCGTTGCAATTGTTCGTTGCGCTGCGGCTTGAACGTCCGAGTTTGAGCTAAGGATTCCGCGTTGCGGGAAGAGTTTGGGAAGGTTCAGAGAAGGTCTGAATCCCACGCGCGGCGCCCTTTTTGACGTCCAGACGACAGCTGTGTCCACTGCATTGTATTGTTTTGCTCTCTCATTTTCGCTGCAACTTGGCTATCTGGGCTCGAATCTGACATTCCGCGGATGGGATGGCAACTTTCTAAGGAGGTTCGGGGAGGCGTGCAGCCCGCGACGCCCCACCCTTGGGCCGTCCGCCCTCATCGTCTCCGCCGAAAGACAGGAAACGCGCGCCGAAAATCCGAACCCCCCACCCCAAGAGGCCCCCGGAGAGCTCCGAGAGGCGCCCGGGAGGCCCCGAAGGGGCCCCCGAGAGGCCTCCAAACTGCCTCCGCGAGGCCCCCGAGAGGCCTCCCACCAGATCCCGACGAACATCCAATAGGCATCGCGCCCGCGACCTAGGCGCGGTGGCGGGGTGGGCCGAGGGGCCATTAGATCAATTTGATCATCTGCGCGTCGCCGGCGTCGAGCTCGCCTGCCGCGCGACTGACAGCGGCGCTCGCGCGCGGATGCCGCGGCTCAGAAGGGGTGGCTGCCTGTCAGACGGGCGCGCCTCGCCCGTCGCATGCGGGCCCGACCGGCCGTGTCTCTCCGATGAAACCGCCTGCGAAGGCGGAGCAGCGCTCGCTCGCCGAATTGGCGGCCTTTGCAAGCGCGGCGCCGGCGCGCGCGACGAAGGCGCGCGCGCGCCTCACTCGGCGCCTCAGGCTCCGCAGGGGGGGGGGCGGGGATAGCTCGCGAGTCTCGCGGCCATGGCCTTCGATTCAAATGCCGCCGCCCGGCTTTCGGCGGCGCTTGCTCGTCGCTCTGAGACAGCCATCGCGCGCGGAGCTGGCCGCTCCTGCAGGGCGCCGCGCATCCAGTCAGCGATCCTGACATCTGGCCTCCAGGCCCGCGACTCTGCGCGGTCGCCGCGTTTGCTCGCGGGCGCCAGGGGCGCGGGGGGCCCTTGCCTTCTGCGCCAGCATGTGAGCCCTTGCCGTGGCCCCTGCCAGATTTGACGCCGCCCTTGACGCCCTTGCCCCCCGCGGGGGCTGAGCGCTCCTCCGCGCCCCAGTCGCGCACCGCCGCAGCTTCCCGCGGAGAATTCGGGCCCGCCGTCGCGACTGCTGTCTCAACGTCGGACGACTCGCCCCCGGCGCTGGACTTCTCGGTCAAATTGCGCCGGCAAATCATCATCGGGCGCGGCGCGCGGCATATGGCCGTGGCGGCTGGCCCGAGGTGCCAGTGCGGCCACCCGCCGTGTGGCGCTCGCAACAGAATCGCGTCGCACAGCCCCGTTTGCGCTGGGGATGGGGGAAGCCTTGATGGGGGCTCTCGAATCGGCGAAACGTCGCGACCAACGTCGGTTGCTCGGTGCAGACGTACGCAATGGCGTACCTGCGCGCAAGAAAAGGCCGCGCCTCTTTGAACGCGCGACCTAGGAAATTTGGCGCTCGCATCTCGAGAGGCGCATGCCGCTGCGTCGATGTTAGCGACGTTGCTTCGGCCGGATCGACGACGCCGAATGCGCGCGAGTGTCGCGAAGGTCTCGACATGGTGCGGCCCTCGTCATCCGCCGATTCTTTCACGCTCTCATATTCTGCCCAAAATGTCTTCGACTCTGCGCGGGCGAACGGTCGTCGGATGCCGCGACGTTGGGGCCTCCTCGCTTCGGCGTCGACCGCGTCAACCACCGCAGACCGCGGCCGCAAAGACTGGCCAACGTCTTGCAGGGCACCGCCGCGCAGCCTCGCCTGCGCGTTAACGTGGGACAACGGGTCGGGCGCAAGCCCGCCCGGAGCGAGCTGCAGGCGCGGGCCGGGCCGGCCGCTGCTTCTGCGGTCAAAGCCTTCGCGTCGGCCATTGCGCTTGACCCTGCAGTGGCGCGGCGTCGGCATAGGCCAAAACGCGCACTGACGTCAACTCGTGCTCCTCCCATAGAAAAGGGGCGCCTTCGCTGTGTCAGCGGGCGGATGCGTCGTCTGGCACATGGCTGCGCGCTGCTGGATTCGCTCCTGGCCGCGTTGGGCGCAATCGTGGGCGGCGATGAAATCGGGCAGATCCATGCCAATGTTGGGCGTCGCGGTGGCCATCTCGGCCGCGCGCGACGTGCCCTGGCGGCGCGAGCGATCCGCGACTTCGCGCAGTGCGAGCGCATGCGCCCTCGCGGAACCACCAGCGCCCGTTGCCATTGACCTGGTCGCGTTGACGCGGTCGCATTGGCGCGGTTGAAATGGCGCGTCCGCGTTGACGTGCCCGCATAGACACGGTCGCACCAACGCGATCGCATCGACGCGGTCGCGCCAACGCGGTCGCATCGACGCGGTCACGTTGACGCGGTCGCGTTGTCGCGGTCGCATTGGCGCGGTGGAGTCAACGTGGTCGCATTGGCTCGGTCGCATTGACGCTGTCGCGCGGGCGCAATTGCAGTAACGTGATCGCGTTGATGCGGTCACGTGGGCTCGGTCGCATTGACAAATTGGCGCTGGCGCGGTTGCGCGGGCGCGGTCGCGTTGACGCGGTCGCATTGAATCGCTTTGACGCAGTCGCTTTGACGCGGTCACATTGACATCACACTGACACGGTCGCACTGGCACGGTCGCAGTGTCACTGTCGCACTTGCGCAGCGGAGCTGGCGCGGCCGCATCGGCTCGGTCGCGTGGGCGCGGCCGCGTGAACACGATTGCGATGGCGCGGTCGCACTAACGCGGCCGCATTGATGCAGTCGCATGGGCGCGGTCGCATTGACACTGTCGGATTGACACGGTCGCGTTGACAAATTGGCGCTGGCGGGTTGTATGGGCACGGTCGCACTGACGCGGTCGCAGTGGCGCGGTCGCATTGATGCGGTCGCGTGGACGCGGTCGCATTGACGCTGTCGGCTTGACACGGTCGCATTGACGCGGTCGCATTTACAAAGTGGCGCTGGCGCGGTTGCATGGGTGCGGTCGCATGGACGCGGTCGCCGTGACGCGGTCGCAGCGTCGCTGTCGCGCTTGCGCGGCGGGGTTGGCGCGGCCGCTTTGGCTCGGTCGCGCTGACTCGGTCGCATGGACGCGGTCGCGCGGACGCGATTGCATTGGCGGCCGCACTGGCACGGTCGCATGGACGCGGTCGCATTGACACCGTCGGTGCGACACGGTCGAACTGATGCGGTCGCATTGGCAAATTGGCGCTAGCGGGTTGTATGGGCACGGTCGCACTGACGCGGTCGCATTGGCGCGGTCGCATTGGCTCGGCCGCATTGACGCAGTCGCTTTGACACAATCGCTCTGACACGCTCATATTGACAAGGTCGCGCTGACACTGTCGCATTAACACGGTCGCAATGAACAGGGGAACGCCGCCACAACGGCACGTCGACGTGCGCGCAGGGCGCGCCGTCCTCGCCTGTGGCGGTGGCGCGCACTCGGCGCTGCGCGTTGCGCGCGGGGGTATCTTTACTCTCGCCCCACCGCAGGGAGGACATATTCTCGAAGAGAACCCAGAACTCGAAATTCAGAAAGACCTGAACGCGCGCCCCCCACCCGCTTCCCCCAACTGACCCAGCCCGCCCTGCCGCAGGCTCCGCGGGGCGTTAGGGAGAAACGCTTTCAGTTTAGTGTTTTTATGAAACAAACAGAACTACGTTTTTTTTTTTTTTTTTTTTTTTTTTTTTTTTTTTTTTTTTTTTTTTTTTTTTTTTTTTTTTTTTTTTTTTCATGCCCTCCCCGAGACAGTAGTTCATCCTGTGGCTCATGGGGCGTGGTCTTTCTCACGGACCAACGATGCCAAATGCAACGCGTTTCGCCCGCATCCAACACGATGCAGCACGAACGATTACACCAACTATTGCGTACATGTTTGAAACGCCTTGGCAAAGAACGCATTCGCCCCCAAGGCGGCCAGCATGTCTGCAACGTGTGCGTGCGATCGCGCCGCCGCGCCAGGGTGGCCAACGACGCCCATGTCGATGCCCACATGCGCCGCGAGCGCGCTCCCGTACGTCTCCAGATCCACCCGCCTTCGCTCCCCACCTTCCTGGCGACGCGACGAAGGCACGGCCGCCTCCTCCTCGCCCCCCCTTCCCCGCCCCCCCCTCCTCCGCCCGGGCCGCGCGCGGGGCCGCGGCCAGCGAGAGAGGGGCGCCGCCTCTCTCCGAGGGCCTTGCAGCTCCACCCGTCCTCGGGCGCGGCCGCGCGGTCGCCCTGGCCGTCGTAGTCGTCGTCGTCGTCCTCCTCCTCCTCCTCCTCCTCCTCCTTCTCGCCCTCCTCCTCCTCCTCCTCCTCCTCCTCCTCTTCCTCCTCCTCCTCGTCCTCCTCGTCCTCCTCGTCCTCTTCGTCCTCGTCGCTGTCCTCGTCCTTCTTGTCGTCGCCGTCGTCGTCGTCGTTTTCGTCCTCCTTCTCCTCCTCTTCCTCCTCCCCCTCGTCCTTGTCGTCGTCGTTCTCGTCCTGGTTGTGGTTTTCGCCTGTTTCGTGGACGCTGGCTTAATCATAAACCCCGGACGCGTCGGAACCGGCACCCACCTCCCCCGTAAACTTTTGGTATTCCCAGAGAGCGCCCGCCCCAACCCAGACACCAGCGTCTCTAACCAACCCCATCCAAGGAGGGTGGGGGTTCGAACCTGCCCCCCACCCTTTTCCAACGGCGGGGGAGGGTCGCACCGCCGCCTCCATTCCCCCCCTCCCCCGAATTAGATCCAAAGAGGGCTCGATCAAGCTCCAATCGGTTCATCAAAATATAACTGGCAGCTGTAATTGAATCCTACTGCGGCTCGCTCCAACTATAATGGCATCCTACTACAGCCACTTCCAGCTTCAGATAATCTTATTAAGGCTGGGTCCAACTCTACCTGAGTCCAACTCGGGATCGACCAAACTCTGATTCAATCCTACCAGGCTTCGATCCAACTTGATAGCGTCCTAGGAGGGCTCGACCCAAGTCTACTATAATCCCACTATAGCGGGATCCAGATGTGCTTAAGTCCTACTAAGGCTCGGTCCAATGTTGATAACATCCTAATAGAACTCGATCCAACTTTGGCTGAATCCTACTGGAGCTCGGTCCAGCTCTAGTGGCATCCAAGTAGGATCGGATCCAGTTGTTATATATCTCGACTCAGGCTCGATCCAGCATCCTACCAGGGCTCGATCGTCGTCGTCGCCGTCGTCGTCGCTGCCGGCGACGTCGCCGGCGCCGGCTCAGGCCTCCCACCCCTCGGTTCGAACCCCCCCCCTCCCCTTGAGAGGGGGGGGGCCCCGTCTCTTCGACCCCCCACCATTGCAATTCAGGGCGGGAGGGGGGTGCCTGTTCGAACCCCTCCCCTTTCTCAGCGTCCGCAGATCACACTCTTTCACAAATTGAAGACTTCGGCATGCTCTGAGCAGAGCAGGTCCAGGAGCACGCACCTCGAACGCCAGCAACCACTGTGCCGCCTGGCCCCGCGTCGAATGACCAGGCGCGCGCGTGCCGAGACAGCTGTGGGCGGCTGGGCGATTGCCCTCTGCTCGGCCCAACCCCCCTCGGGCACGCGATCGCGAATGCGCGGGCAACTTGGGTGCCTTAAGGAGAGGCCGGCAGACCGGTCTTTCGCCCCCCTGGACCTTCTGCGCCTCCTTGATCTACGGCGAGCACAACACCTGCTTCGAAAGCCTCCTCCTACTCGTCTCTTTCTTCTTCCTCTTGCTCCCTCTCCTTCTCATCAAACTACCTCGTCTGCGTTGACGTTGCCGTTGCCGTCCTCCTCCTCCTCCTCCTCCTCCCTCCTCCTCGTCCTCCTCCTCCCCCTCCTCCTCCTCCTCCTCCTCCTCCTCCTCCTCCTTCTCCTCATAATCATTTTCATCGTCATATCCTCATTCCTCCTCTCCTCATCCTTCATCATCGTCGTTCTCGTCGTCGCCTTCCTCCTTCTCTTAATCCTCTTCCTCCTCCTCCCGTTTCCCTTCTCCTCGTCGTCGTCCTCCTCCTCCTCCTCGTCCTCCTCCTCTTCCTCCCTCTACGTCCTGAGGGATAGCTGACCGCAGTGCAGCGAGCGAAGACCTACCGATGAGTACGCAGGAACTTCCCCAGGGCATGGGGCAAACGCACTGTAGCCCCAGGGCCTCAGTGAAACAACGAGGCCGACTGCCAAGGCCGCCTGGAACATTCAGCCCTCCAAGCAGAGCAGCAGGAGGGTGCGACTGAAAAAGGGATCTCTGCAATGCCCGCCCGTCTCCCCTTGCCCCTGCCCGCGCAGAATTTCCCGCCAAAGTCGGGGCGCGGCCCATCCTAGGGGTCCCTCCCTTGCAGGCCTGAGCTGGATCGAATAGCGACATCGGCTCGGATCGGAAACATATCGGAGGGCCAACGAATCGCCCCGAATCGACATGGGATCGCCGATCCCAGCTCCGGCTGGCCCCAGACGATGCGGATGAACCAAACCGTCGGAATCGCGGCCCCAGCCGACGACTCCAACTAGGGAACCCACAAAAGACGTACGCCCCCAACCACGTACATGAACACGGCCACCCAATCCGCGAGACCGGCCGCGTGATACGAACGTTCACCCAATGCGTACTCTCGAAACCAGCGTGGATTCAAGTACGGCAGGTTCGTGTCGTGCCGACCCCAGCGTTGGTTTTTGACACCGCAGGGATCGTTCAACCTTGAACGATCGGCCGCTGCCGCAACGTCCGATCGTTCAACATCGATCGATTCTGGGTCGCCGGCGGCGTTCAACCTTGAACGCCCGCGCTGGGGTCGCCGCTGGTCGACACGACGCAAACCTACAGTACGTGTGCCCTGAGATCCGAAGTAACGAGAACAACAGAATGAAAAATCACGCCCGGAGCCCTGGAAAACCATCTCTCTGCGTCCTCTTTCGAGCCCGACGGCTCTGCGATGGTCCTGGGGCCCGAAAAGCATGCGAAAACGCCCGGCTCGAAATAATTGGGACGTTCGGATCTCGGGGCACGTCCTTCTTTCGCTCATGACCCCTATCGTTAGGTCGGGCATGTCCCCTACAGGCGGATTTTGGGCGAAAAACTAATGAACTATTCAAAACATGCACCACACATGGCCAAGCATTGCTCAAACATCGTCCCCAGACTATTTTTAACCATACTTTTGAATTTTCTTCCTGCAGAGGGACACGCCCGACTTAACACTATCGCACCGAACCGGATCGCAGGCCGCCCTGCCTGCCCGGCTCCTCGAGCCACGCCCGGCCGCGGCGGCGAGGGAGGCCCCCGAGAAGCCGAGGACAGACGCCAGAAGAGATGCCGAGGGCCCTCGCCCGTGCTCCGCCTCCGCTGCCTGCTCCACATGCTTGCCATCGCTCGGACGTCCATTCCCCGTGCATTTGTCTTGAGCAGGGACCGACCGTCCCAGCAGTTCTAGAGGCCTGCCACAACATGTTCGTAGAACCCAAACGTGCTCTAATAACAAAAACCAGATTCTTAGAACATGAGCCCGATGTACTAAAACAAGACAGTCCCAGCCAGAAATGTTCTAAGACCATGTCGTGCAGACCACGAGGGGTTCTTAGAATATGCTTTGGTGGGCCTATAGGCGAGCCAGGGCGCTTCGCCACTGCTTGATTGTCGGCTTCGAATGTTTTTCTTGTTTAGTCGCAGGGTGATCCAGGATGCTTCTACATTGTCTCCGCCGAGAAAAAAAGCACACGTCCGAGTGGTGCCGAGGGTGGGGGCCTGCGTGGCCCCCGGCGCTGTCCGATCTGGGCCGGATTTGGACCGCATCGGCAGCGCATGTGGGACCGGGTCTGGACGGGAGCCGCCCCTTCACAGCAGGGGGCGAGAAGAACGAGCAGCGGGAGAAGGAGCAGGAAGGGCGAGGATGAGCAGGAAGGGCCGCGTGCGGTCCCGAGTGCAGGAGAAGCTGATTTCAGTGTCGCCGCCCAGGGCTCTCATAAGCAGACATCGGGTCCGCCTGCACCGCGAAACCCAGACTCCCGACGTCATGATTTGTTCCTGACGTCGGCTCCCAGAGGTCTCGACCCATCCCCAGGACCGGCTTTTCATTCCGAGTTGTTTTTTTCAATGGTCCCGAAGCCCGGTAGGGCCCCCCAGGGACCGAAAATAGCGAAAACCCCCCGTCGTGATTTTCTCATGACTCGAAGGGGTCTGGGAATATCAAAGCGCATCGAACAAAACCCGCCCCCAAAGGGCCACTCCTCAGACCCAGCATGGCTGGCTCTGCGAGCCCTATCAGCATCACCACCACCATCTCCACCACCACCACCATCTCCACCACCACCACCACCACCACCACCAACCCCACCACCACCACACCACCACCACCACCACCACCACCACCACCACCACCACCACCACCACCACCACCACCACCACCACCACCACCACCACCACCACCACCACCACCACCACCACCACCACCACCACCACCACCACCACCACCACCACCACCACCACCACCACCACCACCACCACCACCACCACCACCACCACCCGCGCGCCCCCCCTATCCCCAAGGGATCTCTGTGCGCCGCCGCTGATCTGTTACCAACTGCGCCTGCTGCGGCAAGGCGCCACCCGCTCCTCGTCCGGCTCTCTTGGACTGCTCCGTGCGAATTTCTTGGATCGGCGCTGGACCCACCTCCTTGGCGCACGGAGCGCGCCAGGGGCCGCGCTGGAGGTGCCGCTGGGGGACCCCAGCGACGATCCGAGCAACCTCCGCGGACCTCCGAGCTTTTATGTCTATGTCATCGTTTGCTTCCCTAGTGCACCGCCCAACACCAGAACGCGTCGAACAAAACCAGCCCCCCAAATCAGGAGGGGAAATACACACAGACACAACTAATCGTCGAGTCCAGGGACACTGTGGGAACATTTTGGAGGTGGGGGGGGGGAAGATGGAAGTCAAGAAACTATAGGCGGAAATATTGGGAACCCTGGGATTTGTGCCTACACGTCGTTCATTTCTTATCGTGCTCATTTCTAACTGTGCTCGTCTCTACTTTTTCCTGGCCCCCTAGTGGCCAGGAAGAGGCCCAGGATAGAACATTGAGAAATGAAAGGATCTTGCCCCCCAAAAAAATCAAAGAACTTTCGAATACCTAGAGATGGTCTCATTGGTGCACTCATTTCGAAGAGCTTTCAATGTGTACTCATTGGTGTGTTCCTGGGCCCCTTCGCAACAGGCCGCTCCCCAGGGCCCACCCTGTGGCCCGCTCTGGCCGCGGCTCCCCGGCCGGCCAGAGAGCGGCCGAGCGCGGCGAAGACGAGGGCCGCCTCTACCTCCAGGTTGGGCCCCTGGACCCCTTTCGAGTTCAACGCGGGCAAAGGAAGAGGAGGAGGAGGAGGAGGAGGAGGAGGAGGAGAAGGAGGAGTAGGAGGAGGAGGAGGAGGAGGAGGAGGAGGAGGAGGAGGAGGAGGAGGGAGGCGCCGCAAAAACTGCGCGTTCAACGCGGGCGCCGCGCAAAGTACGCACCGAAAGGCGGCGCGGCACGGTCGCGCGCGCCGCAGGGACTCTGAAAGTGCCTTCGGGGCGGCTCAGGGGTGACCCAAAAATGACACAGTTTGTGTGCCAGCGCAGTTTCTTTTGCGGCGTTGGGCGCCCTGGCCCCTTTCGAGTACGGCGCGGGCGCGGTCGCAAGAAACCGTCGCAAGATACCCCACCCTCAGAAAACCGCGCGCGATGTGCGCCTGAGGGGAAGCCTGGATCACCCTGGACGCAGCAGCTCCTTCGACGGCCGCCGGGAATCGCCACGTAGCGATTGGAGCGAAAAAACCCAAGGTACCCTGACGAAGCGCATCAGTTTTTTTGATGCGCGTCCCAATTATAGGAGATCGACAACGGAATTGATGTACGCCCAAATGGGAATGCTCGTGGGATCAACGGCGGAAGCGTCTGAAGTGTTCGTAGATCTGCCAGCATTGAAATTAGTTGGGTCCCTGGACCCATCGAGGGGCAAGGACCGGTTTTCCGCCCTCTCGGCGCTATCAGACGAAGCCATGAAAAAAGGGCAAACTCGGGTGAGGATACATCGGCAATCTCTGAGATCTGGTTGCTCTAGAGGATGTCTCGGGCGCCGCGGCCTTCTCAGCGTGTTCGGGAACGCCCTGGAACGGATATATCCTCGTCCTAGTCCCATCCAGTGTTCTCCAGCAGCTGCGCCTCACCTGTCTGGGCGTCCGGGGCTCCCCGCATCGTCCCGAGCGGCCGCCGGAGCCCCGGCTTGACCCGAAGACCAGACAACAGGATCACTTGAGGGGGACTGGCTCAGGGGGGGAACCATCGAGCTTGAATCCGCGATCCATCGCCGATAGATCTGCGATGCCCCCGACAGCGAATCCACACGTTCCTGGGCGGGGTGGGCTATCGGGCCCGTGTCGGCGATAACTGGGCGATTGGGGGTTGATGCATCCCCCCCCCCCTAGGTCATAGCTCACCTATGCCCCCTCAATCGTTGCCCCTGAGGACCTCTCCCAGGGTCCGTCCTGGCCCGTTCTCCGTGCCGCGCCCAGCAGCAGCGACGAGAACCTCGAGACGCGCGCCCAAACCCTCCAATCGAGGAGCTGACAGCCGGCACTTCGACCTGCTGCCTCCGCCAACGGGTCCAGGCTCACGCCTCGGCTCCTGGGACGCGCTACAGGCCCGAGTGACAGCATTGGCGGTGCGCACAAGGGGGTGGAGGAAAGGGGGAGGGCTTCTGAGCATGAGCAGGACGCTGCTCCTTAGAAGGCGCCGGCCTTACATCTATAGATAAGGCCCGCTTTTTTATGATTTGTTCCACCGGCGACGACCTATTGGCAACGAAACGTGCCGTGCCAAGCTCTCTGCCACGAGGGGGGCCAATAGTCGGGGGACAAGATCCCCAAACAACCAAAACCGGCGCCCCAACCAACCTGCCATAGGCGAGCCGCTGCGCGCATCCATGGCCTGGAAGAACGGGGCGAAGTACAGCTTCGCAGGTCGCGGAGGTCATCGCCCGACTGCCTGTCAGTCTGGGCGCCCGAATGACCACTGCAGTGCCAGCGCAGAAGCAGGGGTGCCTCTAAGAAGCCCTCCCCCCCGTCCCCCACCCCCCTCTGCGCGTGGCTGCGACGGCTGCTGGAGCCCAGGAAGGCCCCCCCCCCCCGTTGCGCCCCCCCCCGCCGTCTGAGGCCTTGCGGTCGGGAACTTGCGTCCCGAGTGAAGACGACGAGGAGGAGGAGGAGGAGGAGGAGGAGGAGGAGGAGGAGGATGAGGAGGAGGAGCAGGAGGAGGAGAGGAGGAGAGGAGGAGGAGGAGGAGGAGGGGAGGAGGAGGAGGAGGAGGAGGAGGAGGAGGAGGAGGAGGAGGAGGGGGAGTCGCAGCGGCGGCGCGGGCCCGGCGACACGGATATATAGCATGCCGCTCCGCTCCACAGGGCGTGAGGCTCGGAACAGCTCAGGGCGTTGACGCAAGGGCCCAAGGGCGGCAGGGAAGGGGATGGCCTGTCGCACCAAAGCGTCGCGACGCGCCAAGCCAATGCTCCTGATCGTACTCGCGCCCATGGCCCTGGTGGGGTCTGAGCTGGCTGTTAGGCCATGGGCAACCGGACTCGAACTGATCCCCATACCCAAGATTGGCAAGCCCAAAGCGATGCAAACCTAAGGGGTGTGCCCTCAGAGACTGAGGGAAGCCCTACGATCGGCACTGAGGTAAGGTGATGCCAAACATAGGGATAAGGATCTGATCCGAGCTGGTACATGAGCAACGGTGTCGGCGCGCCGTCGGACTCCTCTCCCTACGGTGCCACCGGCGGCGTTCGGGGGCGCGACTCCCGCGAGTCAGGGTCGCACGTGTCCGAACACTCGCCCCAGAACTCGTCCTCGCGGGGGGGGGGCGCGGACGGGGGGGGGGCAGAGCCTCGCTCCTCCCGCTCTGGCTCCTGCTACTCCTCGAGCCCATCTTCCCGATCCGTCCTTTCCCCCTCCCCCTGCCCGTGCTCCTTCCCCTCCTTCCCCCCTTCCCCTCATCCTTCTCTCTCTCCTCCCTCTCTCCTCCCACTCTCCTCCCACTCTCCTGCTCTTCCTCCGTCTCCTCGGTTTCCTCGGTTTCCTCGGCTTCCTCGGCTCCATCGGCTTCCTCGGCTCCCTCGGCTTCCTCAGCTTCCTCCTTCTCCTCCTCCTGTTCCTCCTCCTCTTCCTCCTCCTCCTCCTGCTCGCGCTCCGGCGCGCGCCGACCGCAGGCAAGCAAGACGCCGCGGGAGAGCCCAGGAATGAGCGAGGATGGTAGGGGGCGGGGGCCACGGCAAAGGGGAGGCAGAGGTGGATGTAGGATGAAGTAGTCACGAAGCAGGGTGGCGATACGCAACAGGTGATCGAAGTGGGATTTTATCGACTGTCGCCAGCGCTGCTCGGAGGGGCAGGAGCGCGGAACACGAGGGCTTAGGACCCCATCAGGCCCCTGGATCTGACCGGAACCAGCGCGTTCTCCATGGCTTCAGTCGATGGAAACTTCGCCCAGCGCCCAAATATACTTTCCCCGAACGGCCACGGGTGTGGGGGGGAGGAGCGGGAGAGTGGAGAGAGCGGTGGGACGGGGTGGGGGTGGGGGGAGGGGGACCGAGGGTCCCTTCTCCGTCTCCTCCTCCTCCTACTCCTCCTCCTCCAGTCCGTCTCCTTACGAAGAACTCCTCCCTGTCGCACCCCGAGGCCAGTTGGAAGGGCGGGCCCGGCGACTCGCCTGAGACCTTCTTACCATTGATGAGCCTCAAGCTGGCCATCGCTCGGACGTCCATTCCCTGTGTTTTTTTTGTTGGTTTTGTGCATGGTTTTTCCGCCAAATGATCAAGGATGCTCCTCGATGGTCCTCGCCGAAGGAAAAATGCACACGTCCGAGCGATGCCAAGCAAGCTGAAGCGCTGACAACAGCTTCACAGACGGAGGGCGGGCCGCTTCCAAACTGTGGCTCTTGCCTCCGCGCCGCGCCTGTCGTTTCAACAAACGCAACAGCTTCACGGATCGAGGGCGGGTGGTTTTCAACATGTGGCTCTCGCCCCAGCGCCGCGCGCATTCGCTCTAAAACTTTGCAATCATTTCACGGACTTAGGGCGGCTCCTTTTCAAAATGTGGCTCTTGCATTAACGCCGCGCGCATTCGCTCAAACAATTGCAAGAGTTTCACGGGTTGAGGGCGGTGCGTTTCAAAATGTGGCTCTCGCCGTAGCGCCGCGCACGTTTGCTTGAAACAATTGCAAGAGCTTCACGGATTGAGGGTGATTCCTCGTCAAACGGTGGTTCTCGCCCTAGCGCCGCGAACATTCGTTTTAAACTTTTGCAAGAATTTCGCGGGTCGAGGGCGGTTGCTTGTCAAACTGTGGCTCTCGCCTCAGCGCGGCGCACATTCGTTTTAAAACGTTGCTAGGTTTTCATTGGTTCTCATGGCTAACGTACCAGAACTTTTTTGGTTTGATTCAGGATTGTCAGGGCGCAACACTCACGTTGTTTCGAGATGTTAAGTCTGGCGTTCTGGCGCGATTCAGGATCGTCAAGACGCAACTGCCAGCTTGACTCGTGGCGTTGAAATCCTGATACTATTTCTTGGGCACGTTCAGGATTTTCACATATTTGTCCGCCAACGAAGCACTCCCCTCTGTGGAAATGAGTCCTTGTAGGGGCACATGAAGAAAGAGAGAGAGAGAGAGAGAGCTTGGACGGAGGGTGTTTTCCAACTTCGCTGATGAGTCTTAGGTTTACGCTCGTCCTCCTCTTCGTCCTCGCCCACGTCCTCCTCCTCCTCCTCCTCCTCCTCCTCCTCCTCCTCCTCCTCTCTCTTCCTTCTCCTCCTCCTCCTCCTTCTCCTTCTCCTTCTCCTCCTCCTCCTCCTCCTCCTCCTCACGCTCATTCTCCTTCTCTTGCTCCAGCTTCTCCAGCTCCTCCTCCCCCCGCTCCTCCTCCTTCTCCTCCTGCTCCTCCTGCTCCACCTCCTCCTCCTCCTCCTCGTCCTCCCCTCCCCCTCCCTCCTCTCCCTCCCCCACTTCCCTCGCCCCCTTTCCGTTCCCCCCCTCCTCGTCGTCGTCGTCGTCGTCGTCGTCGTCCATCCTCCTCCTCCTCCTCCTCCTCCTCCTCTCGCTCCTCCTCGTGCTCGTCCTCGTCCTCGTCCTCCTCGCCCTCCTCCTCCTCCTCCTCCTCGTCCTCCTCGCCCTCCTCCTCCTCCTCCTCTCGCTCCTGCTCCTCCTCCTCCTCCTCCTCTCGCTCCTCCTCCTCCTCCTCCTCCTCCTCCTCCTCCTGACGCTCTCCAGGTGGGCCTTCTGCGTGTCGGCCAGGCCTCCGCCCAGAACATGCTGGATCGAAACAACGGCCACGCACTGGATCCGCCTCGCAGCAGGCTCGGCCTCCTCCAATACATCCCAAGCTTTGGCCCCTTCCGCAGCCCGCTGAACCTCGACTCCAGGCTCGGGATGAGGAGATGGCGAGGATGAGGACGATGGTGGAGATGTCGATGAGAAGAGGATGGCGGGAGATGAGGGGTGGAGATGGGCGAAGCGGAGGACCAAGGCGAGTTTGACAGAAGGCACGCCGTCCTTCTCGAAGCACATCTTCCCCCTGCTCTTGCAGCACTTGGAGTAGCGGCAATC